TATTGCTATATGATGTATGGTATATATATTGCAATATAATGCATATATATACATATATAAATATATATATGCCTAGAGTGTTTTTAATTTGTCAGTGGTCTGTCTCTGCATTCTGTTTGAAGAAGTACAATGTAGACATTATGTATAAGATATTTCATCTTATCGTTTAGCATCATAGTAATACTCTTTACCTGTCTATTCAGATTACATTTGCACCAACCTAATACATTGTATGATTCCAAAACCAAAGACAGTATGAATTGAAATGATCTTCCCTTTACTAATACTCAGTCTTGTCTATTTTATTACCTTGACAAACTTCATCTAACACAAATCAGGGGATACTCATCATCATATTAATACAATTTTACTCTGACCTTAAAGTTAAGCAACTGCTAAAGGAAAAATCAGAACCAAGTAAACTATGATTAACAACTCCCTTGAAAATCCATATTTTTAAAAGTCATTTTACAAAATTTTTCAGACAAGATATGTTATTCTATAAATTTAATCAGTTTTATCTTCCATTTTCTCTTCATTAAGGTGATAAAGATCATCAGTAGAAAAATGTTCTCTTGTTTGCCTCCTTTTCCGTTTACCTTATTTAGTGCGAAATTTAGCCTTTTATAACTTCTAAAATAGCAATGTTAATCTGATAAAATAAACCAAGGTGACATAAGTTTAAGGCAATACTTTTTTTCTTCAACTTTTATGTTTGGGGGTACATCAGCAGGATATACAGGCTTGTTACAGGGGTCAACATACGCCATGGTGGTTTGCTGCACAAATCAGCTCATTGCCTAGATATTAAGCCCAGCATCCATTAGCTGTTCTTCCTGATGCCCTCCCTCCCTTAACTCCCACTGACAGGTCCTAGTGTGTGTTGTTCCCTACCATGTGCCCATGTGTTCCCATTGTTCAGCTCCTACTTATAAGTGAGAACATGTGGTGGTTGGTTTTCTGTTCTGGTGTTAGTTTACTGAGGATAAGGGCTTCCAGCTCCATCCATGTCCTTCCAAAGAACATGACCTCATTCCTTTTTATGACTGCATAGTATTCCATGGGGTATATGTACCACATGTTCTTTATCGTTCATTGTTGATGGGCATTTGGGTTATTTCATGTCTTTGCTATTGTGAATAATGCTGCAGTGAACATAATGCAGCACTATCTTTATAATAGAATGATTTATATTCCTTTGGGTATATACCCAGTAATGGAATTGCTGGGTGAAATGGTATTTCTGCTTCTAGATCTTTGAGGAGTCACCACAGTGTCTTTCACAAAGGTTGAACTAATTTACACTCCCACCAACAGTGTGTAAAAGTATTCCTTTTTTCTCTGCAACCTCCCCAACATCTGTTATTTCTTGACTTTGTAATAATCACCATTCTGACAGCTGTGAGATGGTATCTCATTGTGGTTTTCATGTTATGCTTTGTTTTTCATATGTTTGTTGGCTACATGATTGTCTTTTAAGAAATGTCTATTAATGTCTTTTGCCACTTTTTAATGGGGTTTTTGTTTTTTACTTGTGAATTTGTTTAAGATCCTTGTAAACTCTGAATATTAGACCTTTGTCAAATGGTTAGGTTACAAAAATGTCTTTGATGATAGTTTCTTTTGCTGTGCAGAAGGTTGTTAGTTTAATTAGATCCTGTTTGTCAACTTTTGCTTTTGTTGCAATTGCTTTTGGAGTTTTTGTCATAAAATCTTTTCCCTTATCTATGTATTGAATGATACTGCCTAGACTATGTTCTAGGGATTTTATAGTTTTGGGTTTTACATGTAAGTCTTTAATCTCTCTTGAGTTAATTTTTGTATAAGGTATAAGGAAGTGGTCCAGTTTCAATTTCTGCATATGGCTAGCTAGCACCACTTATTAAATAGGAAATCCTTTCCCCATTGCTTATTTTTGTCAAGTTTGCTGAAGATCAGATGGTTGTAGGTGTTTTTCACTAACATAACCGTGACATACTTTTCATTGAAAATAACACGACTCAAAATATTCTTTAGTAACCAGTTATAAGTTTTTTTGTGCATAATTACAAACTGCTTTTCTAATGATAAATACTTTGTGGTTACTTATAGCTACAAAATATAAGTAATACAGTTTATATAAAGAGTTGTTCTGTTATATTGAAGTTTAGTAGATGTATTCTCTACAAATTGTTTTTCTCCATCTTGCAGTGTCAGGTAAAGAAAGGCATCCCAAGATTAATTCAGAGATAGAAACAGGCACCTTTGTTTTAGATTGCTAATGGAAGCATATGTTTTACAATCACTATTTATTTGTCATATTTCAATTCATATTAAACTGAAAAAGTATGCATAAAGGGTAAAGGAGAATAATTCCCTTCAAGTTTACACATTTAAGGATTCATAGTACAATGATTAAATCTTACATATCTCCATTCTAGGAGAATTAAAACCTTGAAATAGTGAGTAAAATGTTACATTTCATTTAGTAAGTGCTAGTAAAGAGTTTCTGCTATAATTATCCTTATTTTAAAAGAAAACATACAATTTCAGTTTTAGGTTTTAGTAACCAATGTTATGGGCATAGTGGTGTTATTTCTAACAGGCTAAACTGAAATGACCATTGCGAACATATATAGTATAAATTTGCATATATGAATGTTGTACGCTAAAGACTAACTTCTGCTACAAACTACACGGAGGAAGCTTAAAACCCACAGTAAGCAAAAGAAAACGACAAAAGAATCATGCCGTTTGATTACTTTTGGGCAGTGTTTAAAATAGGCAAATCTAAATATAGTGTTTAGAAATGCAAGCTTAGGTAGTAAAAACTATAAAGAAAAGCAAGAAAATAATTACTGCAGAAATTATGTAGTGGTTATCTTTGGGGAAGGAAGAGGGTATAATGATAAGAGAGGAGCAAAGAAGGGCTTCTTGGGTCTGGAAATATCCTATTTCTGGACTTGGCTGGTGAATGCATGAATGTTCACTATGTGATAAGTCAATGGGCTGCTATTATTTTGTTCACTTTTATGTATGTGTGGATTTTTCTATAGTTGAAAAGTCAAAGTTCACGTGTGGTGGCTCACACCTATAATCCCAGCCAGCACTTTGGGGTGCCAAGTTGGGAAGAATCACTTGAGGTCAAGAGTTACAGAGCAGCCCAGGCAACAGAGTGAGGAACTATCTCTACAGAAAATTTAAAAAAAAAAAAAAAAAAAGGATCTGGGCATGTTGGTGCATGCCTGTAGTTCTTGCTACTTGGGAGGCTGAGACAGAAGGATCACTTTAGCCCAGGAATTGGAGGCTACAGTGAGCTAGGATTGTGGCACTGCACTTCAGCCTGGGTGGCAGCAAGACACTGGCTAAAAAAATAAAATAAGTAATTTAAAGTAAAAATATAAGAAAAATGAGCATAGCCTTATGCTAATTTTTCAGTTACTAGGTCTGATGTCATCACATTTCTTGCTTGTCATTGAAAATTTTTTAAACTATAAGATACTTTTTTTTAGTGGTATTTATCCAATTAAATTTGCTAACAAATTTTGGTGTGTAATTCTCATAGGTAAAGGTGTGTGGAGTGTGTGTGTGTGTGTGTGTGTGTGTGTGTGAGAGAGAGAAAGAGAGAGAGAGGAGGGGGAGGAGACCATGAAGGAAAAGGGAAGGAGTAGAAAAAGAATAAAGAGCTGTTCTGATAGATTGAAGTTTAGTAACTGTATTCTCTACAAATTGTTTTTCTCCATCTTGCAGTGTCAGATAAAGGCATCCCAGGGTGATTTCAGAGCTGGAAACAGGCACTTTTTTATTATAATGCTAATGGAAGGAAGGTGTACATTCTGTTACCAATAATGGAATCTATTTCCATTATTAAGTAATGAGCCTTAATTCTTTGAATTTTTGTGATCCATTTGGCAGTAGGTGCCTCAGCATTTCAGCTCTGCTATATGTACATAGAGATATGTTTTATTTAAGTCGTCTTATTCATATATTTCAAAAAGAAATCAATTTTTGGCCAAGGGTTGCCAAATTTTGCCATATATATAGTTATAGTTTATTACAGACTTCGGTTGTAAAATATTAAATTCTTATATCCTTTTGGGGCACAATACAATTTTATCAGTTTGTACCTCTAGTTCTACCTCAAGACATGGTGAGAGATTGAAGTACCTCTTCATCTTAACATTTTGGGTTCAAGCTGTTGCATAAGGGTGTGAAAATGGAAGTTGGCCTATTTTTGAGCTTTAATAATATTGTCAAATACTTCTTAATCATAAGAGTTATAGTTATGTACTACAATATGTATAATTCTCTGAAATTTAAAATAAAACCTGAAAGCCACAAAAGCTTACCATAAAATAAAATATGATGGAATATTATTTCTAACTAGCTTATCTGTATTTCCTTCATTGAAGGGAATCTGAAGTAAAAAAAAAAATAGCCCTCTTATTGAAAAGAGTTTGGAAGGTAAAGACAACTCATTTTCTATTCAATTCTTTGTAAGTAGAAAAAGAGGAAAGATAGTGTTATAGCTGTCAGCAGATGTCTGACACTTGAAGGAGCGTATCGTTACAATAGATGAGCTAACAATATCTTCAAAGGTCATCATGAATCCCTAAAAATGAGGAACATTTGTCCATTGACTATTTCAGTGACCTCTTTTTGGGCTTTAAGTCTAAAAAACCTGGCAGATCAGAACTTTATATTTGGCATTTTGAGGGTCAAATCTCTACATGACGTGCAAGTCAGAAGGAGATATTACTTGCAAAATACCATCTTTTTTCAGAAGTTAAACTCACATTAAATGTCAAGAGACTGAAACACTGATTTCAAGAAGACACAATTTAGAAAAGATAAATGAAAACGTGTGTTAAAGAAGTCACCAGTGAGAGCTAACTGTGATGGTCATAGTATTATTTAAAGAGTTGGAACACATGAAATTAAGCATTTTGTAAAATGAAGGCTTTTTATCATCCACATAAGATTCTGACATTTAAACCATGTTTCTTCCATTTTGTTCACAGGCTCACCTTGTAGCAGCTTTTGAAAAGAGTTTAGGGAATATGACTGGCCGATTGCAAAGTCTAACCATGACAGCGGAACAAAAGGTATGTTCAGAATTTGCCACTGGAGACTGAAAGAAGACAGCAAATTGCATAGGATTCTTAAATAATACCTGAAGCTCTTTAAAAATAATGTTCCAGGCTGGGTGCAGGGGCTCATGCCTGTAATCCCAGCACATTGGGAGACCAAGATGGGTGCATCACTTAAGGCCAGGAGTTCAAGACCAGCCTAGCCAAAATGGTAAAATCCCATCTCTACTAAAAATACAAAAAAAAAAAAAAAAAGAAGAAGCTGGGTGTTATGGCAGGTGCATGTAATCCCAGCTACTCAGGAGGCTGAGGCAGGAGAATCATTACTCAGGAGGCTGAGGCAGGAGAATCACTTGAACCCAGGAGGCGGAGGTTGCAGTGAGCCAAGATCACACCACTGCACTCCAGCCTGGGTGACAAAATAAATAAATAATAATAAATAATAACATTCCATTCTATGCTAAATTAAAACAATGATAATACCTTTCTTTTCAGATTTTAATTTAAAGATATAATTATTTTACTTCATATTGGAACACACAAATACACACAAAATTCTTGCTAGGCAGTCTATTAATTTACTTCTGGATGGAACTAGTAAAAGAATACTGAATGTTCAGAAAGAAAAACAGTCACATGAGAGAATATTCTGAGAGCAAATTGTTATGCAGTTGACAAGAATCCTACTTTGATAAGAACTTTCACAAATATATGGTCACTAAATCCAGCTATAGAGCATGGCTGTAGGCTAAGACACACAGGAAGGATGCGTGGGACAGATGTTAGGACTCTACCAAGTAAGGGACTTCAGGTTACACCATCTGTGAAACAGAGGCCAATCCTGTGTAATTTTGAAGTAACAAGAACTAGTTTCCATCTAGGTATGTTGCCTTTGAAGAGCAGTGATTTGTTATGTCAAAATGTTTAAAATGAACTTAAAAGATTTTATGGTCTGACAAAAGGAATACCAAAAAGAAAGGAACGGGGAATGTAGTTCACAAAGACAAATACATTAAAGAGGTCCATACTGAGTGGAAAGCCTGGTCACCTTTCCTGTACTGACCAGTTAACTTACTTCTCTGCTGTTAGTCCAGTGGCCTTAACTTCTTTGGATGGGTGTCAGAGATAGGTGAAGCCTCTGGAATTGTATGGAGTGTGTGTGTGTGTGTGTGTGTGTGTGTGTGTCTGTGTGTGTGTGTGTGTGTGTGTGTGTGAAAACTGTAAATATGTATAAATGATCAGGTGTCCAGAGTTTTCATCTAATTCTCAAAGAGACCCATTATATAAAAAGTTTTGGGTATTTTCAGGAATGTATTCCTCTATCCATAGGAATGGCTTCAGTTTTGTCTTCAGATTCTGTAAGGTATGTGATTAGCTTTACAAAACTGGTATGTATGACCAAATTTTGTCAGTTTACAAAAGTTTATTTTCAAAACACTGAATGAACAGTTTAATGAAATCAAAAGAGAAAACCTCATATTCTTATAATTGCCTAGTGTTACTAGCACATTTATTCTCATATTCTCCATTTACCTGCCTGTGAGAGACAGCACTATCCATTCCTGTCAAATCTGTTCTAGGACAGCTAAGAAACTCCTTTTGAGCCATAAGTTTTCCCTCCTTCCTTCCTACCTTCCTTCTTCCTTCCTTTTTCTTTCTTCCTTTCTCCTTTCCTTTCCTTCCCTTCCCTTCCTTCTTGCCTCTTTTCAACTCTTCCTTTCTCCTCCCTTCCACCATTCCTTCTTTCCCTCGGCCTTTCTTTTTTTTTTTTTTTTTTTTTTTTTTGGTACAGCTTGTCTTGTCACTTCACTATGTAACATAAGAATCCAGAAAATAGAATTACAAGGCTTTTTAGAGCAGCTAATGGGAAAGAATAAAAACACTGGGGTCCAGTATTCTTGAATGAGAATTCTGGCTATGTCTGTTAAAAGCTGAGTAATCTTGAACAAGTTTATCTTACCTTTCTTGAATCTCAAATTCACCTTTTTAAAAGTGTGGATGATAATAATTACCTTGTAGGATCACCATGAGGAATAAGATACTCTGATCATGTCACATGTTAGGGCCTGTCAAAAAATATTATCTTCTTTTACATTTCTCATTTTCCCTTGAAAATTAAAAGATAAAACCAAATTCCTCACTGGGCATATGCCAAGCATATTGCTGGAAATGAGTGTTAAAATTTAAGTCTCAATATCTTTAAGAAATCAAAATTAATAGAAATTTTGTCTCCCACCCAATATTTTCTTGTATTCTATTATATTTTTAAGTAAATTTTCTCATAGCAACTGAAAAAAAAATGCAGAAGTTAACTTATAATGCCTATGATTAATCCCTGAATATTTAAAAACTTTTCTGTAACAAGAGATTTTATAATGTGCCTACATTATACTTAAAATAACATTGCCAACATTTAAAATTTTCTCAGAAGATAACAGAATGTCTCATATTTCCGTTATCATTTTTTAACTGAAAACAAAATCACTTCTTTTTGAATTGCAAACTGTATACATACAACAATCTTGGTTAACTATTAATTTGAGATTATAATTTGCTTATTCTCAAAGTGATTTTTAAAAGCCCGTGAAATTATTTGTAATATGAAATAGTATAATTCAAGGACACAGTCTAATGAAAGCCAGTAGAGTAATGTATATAACAATGTACCTCAGCCTAGATAATTACTACTGCAAGGCACTGAACTGAATTGAATTTCAAGGAAGCTAAGGTATAAAGGGAGATTGTTTGGTGTACTTTATTCTCTTTTCTGGCCAGAAGAGCATATGTAGACTGAAGAAACAAACTGGCACTAAACTCAAGGACAAATTTATTGCCAAGGTTTTTAAATTAGGGTCATGGAATAACAAAAGACAAAATCACTGTTCAAATAGACATTTCTCTAAAAGCTAAGGGCACAACATTTAATCATATTTCACTAAAGGCATTTATTCAGGGAGCTGAGATAAAAGGGTATATTGCTCTCTGGTGATCCAACAATCCTGAGAAAAGGCTTGTGAAATATAGAGCCGAGATTCTTAAACTCCCTTCCCCGAGTTACAAGCTTCATTTATATACTTAGTCATTCATCAAGTTTATATTGAATTTGTGCTGTTCTAATGACAAAACAGTACAGAAAATGTAGCTATAGAATGATAGATATAGGTCTATATCTACAGATACAGATGTCTACTACAACTCTAAAAATATATTATACATGTATATATAATATTCCTCATGTAGTTTATATTTCTCATATATATGTATCTCTTTATCATGGAGTTATGACAGATGATAATAAAAGTGTATTAAAACAGACCAGGTGTGGTGGCTCATGCCTGTAATCCCAGCACTTCGGGAGGCTGAGACAGTAGGATCACCTGAGGTCAGGAGTTCAAGACTACCCTGGCCAACATAATGAAACCCTGCCTCTGCTGAAAACAAAAATTAACTGGGCCTGGTAGCCTGCACCTGTAGTCCAAGCTACTCAGGAGGTTGAGGCAGGAGAATCACTATACCTGGGAGGCAGAGGTTGCAGTGAGCCAAGATTGTGCCACAGCACTCCAGCCTGGGTGACAGAGCAAGACTCCATCTCAATAAAAAAAAATACATATATAAATACATATATGCACACATATATAAATACATATGTATGCATAATACATGTTTTATTATTTTGTATTTATTTTGTATTTATATATGTGTGTATATATGTATGTATGTATCTATATATGTATATGTGTTTATATATATACATATATATGTATGTGTATATATACACATGTATACTTTAAAAATGAATAAACTAGATTAAGACTCTAATTCTAGTTTTGGGCTTCACAGTGTGATTTTCAGCAATCACATGGCATTAATAGCCTGAAACTGCATCAAACATTTTGTTTGATTTATAGACCAAAATAACTCCTTTGAATAGAGAGGGATTCACTCCTAACACTTTTCCTATTTCCAGATGCCAAACAACACTGAATCTCTTGCCAAATTTGTGTGCCAGAACACTGGTTTTATACACTTATAGCCTGGTAAGAAAGAAAAGGCATATATTAATAACCCAGAGGCAGAAAATTATCATGCTATTAGACTGAGTACAGTGTCATGTGCATTCTCAAACAAAACTCACATCTGCATAATGCCTGCAGAGTAGAGACGGCACAGAGGGCACTCCTCAGGCTTTGGAAGGATAAAGAAGATTAATACAGGGGAAATATAGAAATGTATGTCACAGAAAAAGGAACAACATGCATGAGCATGGGCAAGAAAGGGAAAAATTATAGAAGGTATTAAGGGAAAAATAGAGAATATGTGGGAAATGTAAGACTAAGCTAGAGACTCAGGCTAGAAAGAAGTCTAAGGAATTTGATCTTTGCAAACAAGAAACCATTTAAAGGTGTTTGACACTGGACTGATGTGATAAAAGTAAGTTGGTGATTGGTCAGGTGCAGTAGCTCACACCTGTAATCCTAGCACTTTGGGAGTCTGAAGGGGGCAGAACACTTGAGGTCAGGAGTTTAAGACCAGCCTGGCTAACATGGTGAAATCTGCCTCTACTAAAAATACATAATTAGCTGGGCTTGGTGGTGGGCACTTGTAATCCCAGCTACTGGGGAGGCTGAGGCAGGAGAATCACTTGAAACCAGGAGGTGGAGGTTGCAGAGCCGAGGTCACGCTGCTGCACTCCAGCATGGGCAACAGAACATAAGTTCAAATAGAAAAAAAAAAAAAAAAAAAAATTAAAAAAAGTTGGTGTTCAACTGGCAGCATTTTCCAAAAGTTAAACAGTGTTTCCAATAGCTGCTAAAAGAAGACATGTTCTATATTAGTAATCTATAAGTAGCAAAAAATTAGGAGAATTGTTAAGATGCTTGCTGGGGAGTGAAAGTATCTCTAGGCATTACCCTATACCTAACCTAGGGCTCAGTAGACTATGAAATTGACACAGTTTGATCAATAATTTTATGTTGATTTCAGATCCTTATCATTTTACCAGCACTTCTTCACCAGGATTATATGGAAAAAAAAATTAAACCTGATTCCCTGAGGCATCCATTGTATGTGCTGAAATAACTTATTTTCTCACCATCTACAATGGTGCTACCTATGTACCACTCTAGTCAGAATCGAGGAAATTGCTACTCAAATCATTGTGCAGGGCTTAATTTTCTCACAGAATGCCAGTTGAGAAAAGCTGAACTGGGAAAAATCCAGCAAACTATATTTTTATAAGTAACATTTTTACAGAACTACTTCCAACTCCTCGTGTTCAAATTTACTAAAGCTATACTCACTGCTAAATATTTAGGAATTTAAAACTGAGAAGATTTTCAAATTAGGTCCCTGTAGCTGTCATGGCAAGGCAATTAGAACATATGTTAAGGTATGATAGGTTTTTCTTGTCAGAAGGTCAGTGTAGGGCAGAGGAATATCCCCTTGTATGAGTGCTGAAGCTCAGATATTGAGTCCTATGCTAACCATAAAGCCTAGTGTTTGCTTATTTGTTATTTCTCTGAAACTATTTCTTGGGATGACTACAGAATAGAAATCAAAACTTCAAGTGAGGGAATTTGAAGCCAAATATTTGAAAATAGATAATGCTGCAAGTAAAAATTTAGTTGAATACGATTTTTACATTAACTCTCCCCAATTTATGTTATGATATTTGCCCTCTAGAAGTGTTTTTAAAAATGTGTCACGAGACTCAGACGATTCATCTATTAATCTTTAGGGCATAGAATCATGTGAATCTATAATTTTCAAATTATTTACACTACTAGTATTTGGTGAAAATAGATACAGTAGGGATGGCCAGGTCCTTTTAGTAGAACAATTAGGAAGACCTCAAATGTAAAGTGGAGTGAGGAAGGGAGGACCTGTTTGAGGAAACTGGAGCTGGGAAGTGTAAAATTAACCTAGTGCCAACGTGAGGACGCAAAAGACAGATGTGGTAGAAAATTTAAAGGGCCTGGCCTAGAAGATAAGTTTGGTTAATGAGATTTGTTGATGAGATTGTCCCAAGCTTGTGGGATTCCCAACAAAGCCTTTATTAGTGAGAAATTTGGAAAGAGATTAGGTATAGTTAAGAAAATGGATTGGGAAGACCACCTTGGCAAGCTAGTATTGTGACACAACATTTGATCTTTTATTTTGAAACATTTCAAGCCTGACCTTAATAAATTATTTAGCCTCAGAGATATGCATAAAACTGTGAAAAGAGACATCAACTACATTCAACTTGCTTTACATGAGAAACTTTCATGGAAAACTAGAACTTTACAAGGTCAGCAGGTGTTGGGGTATCATTATCTTGAATAGCTCATTGGAGGAAAGTGAAATTTTACTTTGGTTCTCAGGTTTTAAAATATCTATCATTTTTGAAAAGTGTGAAGTTACAAAATATGATCGGATTATCTTATTCCTAAAACCTTTTGTAGAATTAGCCCAGCATCAATCTTCTCTTTGGTATTTAATGAGAATAAGAGACTGGAAATGACTGAATTGAAAGAGTAGACTAAATCCATATGTTGACGGCATATACATTTTTTTTCGTTTTTTTTTTTTTCTGAATGATTGATAGGGATTCTCAAAACTTTAGTATCTTCTATTATTTCCCTTCAACTAAAAAAATTTATATGAAAATATTTTAGAATATCTAATGATTTTATAGTTAGCTACCTCTGGAATTCATTTTTAATCATATTCCTGATCCAAACTCCCTACTAAAAATATAAATAAAAATTCATAGTTGTGTCTGGAGACCACATTATAATTTCTATGCATTATAGAAACCTGAGAAGCATAAAGCTTAAAAAATAAATGTGAACAACTAACCATAATTATGAAGAAGAAAAATGAAGACTAGAAATAAACTATTGAAAAATTTCTATGTCTCAGTTAAGTTTTTATTTAAAAATCTTTTATGTTCATCCCTATAACACTGTTGGGAAAGAAAGAAAGGAAATCCTAACTCTGTTCCCATCCAAACGAGGTGATTCTACTGATTTAGTCATAATAAGACTTCCTGGTTATAATAAATAATAAAGTGGTACTCTACTTTTAGGTGATCAGCAGACACCCTCTTGCAAAAAAAATAAAAAGTATGCAAAGAAGTTGAAGTTTTATGTTATTCTTTCAAGGGGAGAAACATCCTTTTAACACAGACCGGAACACTTTAACAAAATCATGCCAGTTAATGTGGAGCTCATAAATCAGGTGAAAAAGTATATTCATCAACAACTAGACAAGCTAAATACATTAAATAGCCTCGAAGCCCAGTCTCGTTTTTCTTCTGACAGGAAAACAGGTTTCACAAGTATGGAGACATTTTACCATGGCTTTTAACAGTGATGAAGGATATTTAAAGTAAAGGGAAAAACTATATGAAAAGACTCAGAGAAAAGAGATGACAGAAAAGAGATGAGTGTGGCTTGAGTGACAAGATGAGAGCAGATCTCATTAACTGAAATGAGAGAGAAGGAAGGAATTTTGCAAATATGAAAGATAACGAGTACAGGTTTGAACAGATTATGTCAATCAGTGCAGAATTTGGCTATCTTGTTAATCAAAGACTATGAATATTTTATACGTATTTGCTTATACTGATAAAGTTCTAAAGAAATAACAGTATGAATTTGGTTGAACTATTTTTTTCTTAGATATGATTCTCTCAAGTTATATAGTAGATATATATCTTAACTAGTTATTCTTTTTACATTTATTGTGCCACATTGAGTAACAACTAACTTGCTAATATCTATTGCTTTTTAAAAGACAGTTAATATTAGAAAGTGATCATTTTCTATGTCATATTAAACATGATATTCTAAAAAAGCAACATTCCCTGAATGTTCTACTTTTTATCTTTTTTGAAAACAGGTTTGAGAAGAGATTTCTCTTGAAAAACTGAATGTTTTGACACTGAAATAAGTCAGCTAACTCAAAGTTAAGCTTAATTTTTTGACATTGTTGTCATGAGATCTCATTTCCACTTTTTTCCTTTAAAGCTACAGGCAAATGTTTTAACAGATTTTAATCCATAGTACAAGCTTAATTGATCTTAAATTTCAGAATAAAAATCTGATTTTAATTAAAATTTAATATGCATTCTAGTATTTATGTTGTAAAATTAGTATTTATGTGATTCCATTAACTATGCACCATTTATTCCTTTTTGAATAAATTTTCAGTAAGATCAGAATAAATGCTAATTTGGCAATGGACAGAATATACAAATTATAGAGACTGAGTTGTTATTATGAATTGGGTCTCACTTTTGTCATGACACTGGAAATTTTCCACAAGTATTATATTCTTCTTTTATAATAAATATAGTGCAAATGAATTGCAGTCAATATTTGAAGACCCATCTATAAATTTAGGAGGTAACTATTGATTTTTCATTATGATAAATTCTTCAACTTGTAAGCTACTAAAAGTCCATGAGAAGGTTTAGTTGTTTTAAATTTAACTGTTCTCTATCAGGAAGATGTCAGGGATCCAATGAAAATAGTTATATTAGGTGCCAGGTATCCATTCCAAACTTGGATATCATTTCAATTAGCATCGTCTGTCATTTTCTTTAAGTGTCTAAGGTTAGAATAGTCACAGGATATTCCCATGTATGAGGCAATTTTCTGCAAAGACTGTTGTTGAGGTTCTTTTTAAAATATATATTCTGGGAGATATTGAGTAAAAAGAAATGATTTCCCAGAGAATGAAGAACCCAAGCCTGAGTCTTTGGCTTTCTGACAAAGATGTTAGAGAAAATGATGAATGACAAATACATTACCAAGGAATTCTCCCTCTAAGGGGCTGACAAAGATCTGATTTTTAGGATTTTATTGCCACCAAGAAAGACACCGCTTGTATCTTTGAGCTTCTGATGGCAATATGGTCTATACTGAAACAACACTCAGTTCGTTTTCTTTCTTTCTATCTTTTTTGAGTTATTTTATTTTACACATAATGAGTTATTTCTGATAAAATAATTTAATTAAATAACTATGAAAGGTCAAATGTGTACAAGTATTTTTATTGGGACATATCTTAAGATTATTCTAAATGCAATAAAAATATATGCTTTATTAAACTTTGATTTGTAAGCTGCTTTGTAATTCCACTATATTTTTAAATTGTATAATGTATATATTTTTTATTTACTTTATTCCTGTTGCTTTGGCTTGGTGAGACTAGGTCTCTACATTAGGACTTTTACTGAATGAAAAACTATCAGAATGAAACATTACCTTGATATGGCATCAGAATTTAGTAAGAAGACATTTAATAGGAATTTAGGGTAAGTTCCAGGTTTTACACATAAATACAAAGAATCAATTCTGCAGGCACAAAATACTTCAACAAAATCTGAAATCATTCATTTGATGAAAACTCAGGTTTCCAGCTGACAATAAATACAATGCAATGCAACAGTCCAATACTGATATATCAACATCTAATGTAATCATAGATAATGTTAATAAGTATGTTATCTGAAATGAGTGATGTGATATCCTGTTTTTCTTTGTACTGGTGAGTTCTGGGTGCCACCCTTTGAAAGGAATAGAAATTATTCACATCACTTTTATAAGAAAATAACTAAGAAAAAAATCTCCTTTAGCTAAAAAAAGAAGTTACTAAGTACAACTTCACAAGTTCAAATAAGCATCCAAATCTTCCAGGAGGTTGTTACTACGTAAAATCAAACCTTTTTGATAGTCACTATGAAAAAGCAGATTTTAGTTTTCTTTCTAGGTATTAAAGTTTCCAAACTCTGTTTATTTCACAGGAGTCTGAACTTATAGAACTAAGAGAAACCATTGAAATGCTGAAGGCTCAGAATTCTGCTGCCCAGGCGGCTATTCAGGGAGCGCTGAATGGTCCAGACCACCCTCCCAAAGGTATATTTATAAACAGTTTCATTTCCACCCAATATAATAGGCATATATTTTATTTATTAATTACAGTAAAACTGTGTTTACTCAGTGTCACTGCCTTTTATAATGAATAAGTTGGTATTAATGTGGTCAGAATCCTAGAATTTTAGAACTGGGACTTGCATTACCAAATAATTTTTAAACTGATATTAAGAAATTTGCTTCTATAGTTGTATACACATCTCCCTGTTTGATACAGTGGAGATGGAGATGGAGTGGTTGGTTAATACATGTATATCTTAATTCAGGCAAAACAAACCCATTAATGAGTATAATAATCCAGATTTGTACATAAAAATGAAATAGTCAATATGATGAGATAAAAAGCAGTGGGAATGGTGAGCAACTTTTCCTGGATTGAGGCTACAAAAAAGTACATTTCCTATAGATAATTTTAAAACAGTTTTAATTTAAATAAAAACAACGGACAAAAGGTAGGTCTGTTTTATATTATTCCTATGCTTCGACAATTCTAAACATGAAAATATTTAGAATTTTCACTGCCCCTACTTCTTGGTTCACCACTGAAGAAATGCTCATTACTAATGTCATGTCATTCTTTACGTCGGTTCTATTTACTCATTTCCTGACACTTTTCAAAATCATTCAACGTGCTCAACTCTTTCCCAGCTTAAAAAATCCTGTCCTAAAATATGAATGCCTTATCTCTCTTTTCATTTCCAGAAGACTTCTGAGAAAAATTTTATGAAATCTTTCAATATCTTCAGCCATCAGCCATCTTTAGACCACTGGAGTGTAGCTTCTCTTCCTTCCACTCCACCAAAACAATGTACTCCAGGATCAGTAGAAACTTACATGACACTAAATTTAGTAAAACATTGAAAATATTTATTGTATGAGACAGACATGGAAACAGCATTTGATGCTGATGTTTATTCCTTCCTATGTGAAACATTTGGTTTTTCTAATGTTCCATACATTTTTGGTTTTTCTTCTGCTCCTTTGAAAATATTGAAATATTTTTCAATATTTCTTTTGTAAATTCACTATTTTGTATCCATTTGTTAATTGTTGATATCCTAAGTTCTCTTGCATTATGATTCTGTACATTATGATTCTATTTAAAATCATATGGAAACTCATCTAATACACTAGCTGTAATTTTCATTAATGTGCTAATAGCTAATAACTGTCAAATTTAGTTCTCCAGGCCAGGCTCTGTATATCCAGCTACCAAGAAAGAACTCCATGTGGATATGTTTGGATTTCTGTTTCACATCTTAAACCCAACATCTCCAAATTTAAATTTGTCTTCTGTCTCAGACCTGCTTCTCCTCCATTGCTCATTGCCTCAGTAGATGGCACTGTCACCCTTCCATTTAGCCAGAAATCTAGGTAGTCTTCATAATTCCTCCTCTTCCTTATTGAATAAGTCACCAACACCTACTGATTCCACCCCTTAAATATCTCTTGGATCTAATCACTTTTCTCTGATTATACTCTCGCCATCCATCATCTCTCTTCTGAACCATGACCACAAACCCCTAAATAGCCTTCCTCTTCCTAATGTTATACTACTTTACACCGCTCTTCAGATTGAAGCCAGAACGGTCATTAAGAAACACATCTAGAGGTATCCCATTGCCTTTAAGGTGGAATAGACTCTTCAACATGACATAATCTCTCTTCACCAGCTTCATTCGTTCAATAAATACTTATTCATAACCAATTATGTGCCAGCTGACACACAGACAGACTTTACTTCTTGTTCCATTATTCTACATTTCAGCTCTCCTGATATTTTTCAATTCTTCATAAGTTATTTATAAATTGTGTTCATTCCATTTAGAATATTCTATCTTGTTTGAAAAGCATAAAATCTTTATGAGACACTGCAGCAGTTAGCCTAAATATGCTTCCTTGACCCCTACACTGAATGAAGCTCCCTGTGATATGTTTCTGGAAGTAGCTATACTTCCCTTCTTAAAATTACATTATACTTTGGGGCTTTTATTTAAGGCATGTCTTTCCTGATTGACAGTAGTAGGGTTTGTTTCCTCATCCTTTTCAAAGACATCTTGGTGCCCATGATGATGTCTTGTACATAAAAGGAGCATATTTGAATTTTTAAAAGAAGAATAATATAATTTTTTAAATGAATTTCAATTTAAACTTTAGGAAAACAATTATATAAAGTGAGATATACTTAAATTGAAGGACAAAGTAGTTCTGCAGGGTCTATCTGTCTCAAGAATTTAGCAACTTTCCATGTGGAGGAGTGATTTACGTGATGCATGGAAAATTACTGCATATTTAAAGCTTATCTTAGAGCTATAATAAAGCAGCTTATGTTCTAAATCTTCATGTCGTAAATAGGTCCAGAAGGGATTTTGAAAGGCTTAATCCTTACTTTAACGCAGCACAAGTCACTGAAGTGAAACTTTCTGAAAGGATTCCTTTTATCTTAGGCAATAGGTAGCTTAATATATCTACTGAAATTGAAAAACTAGAATTCCTTTGCTCAGAGGGGTGGTGCTTAAGATGAAAAATAACAGTTAATATCTAAATTGATCAAGAAATATTTAAAAATAATTTTCTAGGTTTTAAAACTAACAAAAACAACTGCCTGTAAAGGATTAAATGTATACAGGTAGTTAGATTGTATTTCTGTAATATTAAAACTCACTATTAAATTTAATGAACACAAAGTGTGATTCTTATCACATTGATCATTGACATATGGAAAAAATAGTTGGACTAATTATGTGTCATTTCATGGGTTATTAAGGTAATTGTATAAATTTATATACATATAAATTTATATTTGGAAATCATATTGAAATTCACTTTTAGAGACCCTTAAAATATTTATGTCATGTATTTTTTTAACATATGATCTTAAAAGATATATTTGGAAGAGGCAACAGTTTTATAGACAGGTCAGACTATCACAAAATCACATACCGATTTGTGAATATATATTTTCATTTTCTCTAAATTAATGCATCACATTCGTTAACAAAGTCTGATAAATAATTATAGTCTATAATAAAATATTTTTATTTACAAACATCTTTAAACACGTGCTATTAAGTACTAGGCATTATCAGGTCTTAAAATACAAAGATTTAAAAAATTACCCTGTGCTCATGGGGCTCACAGTCCACTGCAAATATAATAATTGTGATAAGAAATTTGAAAGTTGAAGGTAATAGAAAATTTTACTTTCATTTTTCAAAATGTAACATTGTGTTTTAAGTCACTACTTCTGTGTAAATATGGAATTGTTTTTCCTTAAGATATACCAAATATAGTTGGATAACACATGTATTAAAGTTCTGTCAGCACTAAATATTTTTTAGAAATAATGATGGGCAAACATAGTTATGTTGAATGAAAAAATAGACTAGATTTATTTAACAGCTATGTATTGATTGATACTACATGCCATATGCTATACAAGGTTTGAAAGATATAATGGTAAACAAAATAGATATGGTCTTTGTCTCCATAAAACTTTTAGTCTAGTGGGAGAGCAGAAGGTAAATGAACATATGTGATCATTGGTGTACCTGAACATGTATACCAAAACAGTTATAAGTTCTAAGATGGACAGTAATGGGTACCATAGGGAAAGAGGGTACCAAGGAACCTACTAGAGGTTACATAGTCAGGGGAGATTATTCCAAGGTAGTAATATTTAAGTGAATATCCAAGGAATAATTTTCAATCGTAAGTACTGAGGGAGGAGCATTTCAAAAGAACTTTGAGGCAGAAAATAAATTAGTACCTTTATGGAACTAACGTAAGGAAGATGTTAAACAATTGTTTAATAAGAAGAACACAGTGGATGAGTTACGAACTGACAAGATTACTAAGGGATTGTAGGCCACATTTAGAAGCTGGCTATTTTAATCTATTCTTATTAAAGTGAGAAGTTATTGAAAGGTCTTAAGTGGGGGAGCGTTGATGAAGTTTTCCTTTTAAAAAAGATTTTTCTAGCGATTGTTTATAGAATGATTTGAAGATGAGTAAGTTCAGTAGCTATACTTGCTGTAAAGGTTGTATTGGTAGCTTGAACTGGGACTGTCGTGACGCAGAGGACCGGAGGTGGAAAATGACGAGTGAACAAACACATCCCTGAAATCTTCACTTTAAAAACAGCTTTCTCCATTCATTCAGATGGCTGATATTCATGTGGTTAGCCGTTGTTTACTGAACTTTATGATGCCCCATGTACCGAATTAAATATTTACAAGCACTAAAAATGAATTGTTAGGGAATGGCAAAACACATTTCCTTCATTTCAAAATATTATTAAAATTATGGTTTTGCCAATCTTTATTGGTGAATGCAGTCATACTTGAAAGTAACTGATACCTCCAAGGACTACTTTTGATCTATGATTATAATAATTTACCTATCTTTTTAAAAATTTATTATTAAAGCAAACACCATTTATTAATTCTGGATGTAAAAAAATTCTGAAATGCTTTAATACTTTGTGCTTTTCTATTCATGAAAGTCAATTATTACGAATGGGCTATCAAATGCTACATCTTTTTCAAAAAGCTAATGGCCAATCACAGCAAAAATTTAAAACACGAAGAAATACACATATTCTTCTATTGTCTATTTATGTGACTTCCTTAATAGTTGACTAAAGGATACCAGATTTATTTATTATTGAATTAAAACCTCTACATGAATACCTTGATTTAGGTTTAGGTGTTGGTAGTATTTTAGTATGCAAAACCAGTTAATGTTCTCATCATTACTTTTTAAAATAATTTTAAGAGGTGAACTCTAGGGATTCTAAAAAACAAAAAGCTCTATCTGTTTTTTTCCTATAAAATTTTTCAGCATGATTTCCTTAGTAGAAAAATTAAGGCTCTTATTGATACATATGTAAATGAAGGTGAGGATACATATATACACACATACATATGTATGTATATGTATATACATATATTACATGTCTATTAATATGTACATACTAGTTTATTATATGTTTTGAAAGCAACCAATTATAGCTTTGTTGCCATAAATCATTTTTACTATTCAGTAAATCAGTCAATTGAAAAGGCTTGATTTTATGGTATTAGTTTTATGGAAACTTTATAGTAAATTTATAGTCTGCTTTATAGTAAATTTTGACATCTTACAACTTCCACTGAGAGGTTTTTTTTTTCTTAGCTAATATGCCTTGATGCCAATAAATATATTAATGGAAACGGACTAAAAGCAAGTGTGACCTTAAGTATAATTCTGTAAATTTTCTTAGTGTCTCACTAATACTTAAAACTAGTGCCTTTTAGGTAGGAAAATTTTCAGTTTGTTTTACTTTTAATAACTATAAATAAATCTCACAAGTTGCTTGTATTAAAGAAGTGGCTACCTTTAAATATGATTAAAAAGCAAATGCTATTATCTTCGAAATATCTTAACTAAAGAAACACTGCCTGCTTTTAGAGTATAGCAAGGCCACACCATGTGCTGTATACATGGTAGTTAACACAGTAGATATTAGAATCAGTCTAGGGCTGAGCCTGGCTCCACTATTTTTCAGCTATGTGACCATGTGCAAGTTACATTTAGTAATTTTTTTTCCATTTATTTATTTTATTGCATTTTAGGTTTTGGGGTACATGTGAAGAACATGCAAGATTGTTGCATAGGTACACATGTGGCAGTGTGATTTGCTGCCTTCCTCCCCATCACCTACATCTGGCATCTCTCCCCTTGCTATCTCTCCCCACCCCCCACCGTCCCTCCCCTATTTCCCCCCAACTGACCCCAGTGTGTAGGGCTCCCCTCCCTGTGTCCATGTGTTCTCATTGTTCAACACCCGCCTATGAGTGAGAACAGGCAGCCCGCCATTGCCAAGGCAACCCACCACTACAGAGAGAGTCCACCATAACAGAGGCAGGCCACCATTGCCAAGGCAGTTCTAACTACACTTACTAATTAAAGTCATTTCAGTGGTTTGCTTTAAGAGTAAAATTAGATACTCTGGGGCATATCTAGCATATTGTAAAACCTAGTTTTATTATTACTATTACTATTCCATAATAAGTCATGGGCAAGGAGTACGGGTACATTGGAAGAATTGCACTGTCTTAAATATGTCCCCTGTGGAATTCATAAACAGTCTACCTAGGCTTTCTTTGGAGGATCTGTCTTTCATTGGCTGTTTGGCCAAGTTACTTAACTTCTTTGCACTTCAGTTTCTTCATCTGTGAGATTATGTGCTTACATGACTTCCAGGGTTTGTTTCGGCTCTAATATGATATGATTCTAAGAAATGGAAAGTTAATACATTTGGCTCTAGTAACTGTATTTGAAGCACAAATATTAAAAAGGCACAATTAATTCTCATTCTTTTATGAGTTTCCATTTATTCCTGGAAATTAATCATTCAGAACAAATCATTCTGGAAAAGCTGTTTGATCCAGGTATTCAGTAGAAATCACTAGCATAGCATTTAATTTTATACAAAACTCAGAACTCATTAAACTGCAAGGGCTACAGACTTATATGAGATTCCCATTAAATCTTAATATAGATAACTCAGTTAATTTAAAAAAATATGGTTGTACTTTATTAAACTTCTAAAACCAAAACTGCATTGAAATTATCTGTACAAAACCTTGTTGACCTTTATTAGAGAATGTCCTCTCAAAAGACCTAAAAGAGTTATTTGTTCAGATTGAGACTCTTCATGAGCCAATGTGATACTCTCTATCTGTTGCTAGATCTCCGCATCAGAAGACAGCATTCTTCTGAAAGTGTTTCTAGTATCAACAGTGCCACAAGCCATTCCAGTATCGGCAGTGGTAATGATGCCGACTCCAAGAAAAAGAAAAAGAAAAACTGGGTAAGCCACCATCCTTCACCTAATTCAGAAGCTTATTAATGCATAATGAGTTAGGCCTTTTTCTTTTGGGCTTTAGTGATCTGCAGCAGTTTACAAAGTGTCCCATTCAAGCTACTGACACCTCAAATGCTGCACTCATCACCAAAATTAGAGTGGCATGCACTGAAAAGCATATATTTTGAAATACTGAGGCTAAACTTGGGTTTGAATCACCACTGGATCTATAGGTCAGGTTACCTCACCTTTTGAGAGGCCTGAATTTCCTTACCTATAAAAAGATAGTTAATACCAATTGTATTTATTTGTGGATACAATTTATTCACAGATGTTATCTTATTTATCTATAGTATAACTATAGAAACTAAAGAAAAATAAGATAACATCTGTGAATAAATGGCTTAAAATAGGAGTTTATTTTGGGAATAGCAATGAAAGAAAAGTGAAAAAATGATGATGATTATGGTGATGATAATGGTGATAGTGGTGTTGGAGGAAAAGGAGAAGAATGGAAATCAATAAAGGGAAAGAAGAAACTGTGAAAGCTCTCCTTCCGCCCTTAGAATCAACAGGGCTTACAGTGTGAATAGTTTCACCCTGAAAGAAATCAACCACATTAGTGTCTGCTTGATTTTTTTTAAACAAGAGAATATAGCAGAAATATAGAAATATACTTTAATAGAACTGTACCTTAAGTTTGCTAGAGATATAATTTATGATGTTGATCAATAGCTAAATAGCCGAGGGGAAGACACTATTACTGCAAAAAAAATTAAAAACAGTGTTGTCAAGGACTTCTTTTAACACCAAAAAACAAATGTAGATTTTAAGAAAATACAACTTTGATGCAATTCAAACATAATTATCAGAGGATTTTACTGGAGTGCTTTCTACAAATAATGGAAGAAATATCTTTTTGTTTTAAAAAATGTTTATACAGGTAATATTTTAAAATACTGATCAGCCTTCATTCCCTTGATTTGTAATTCCACACTCTTTCATGTTTCTGCAAGGTGAACTCTAGAGGAAGTGAGGTGAATATAAACCGTGGACAATTTGGCATGCATCTATACAAAAACCCTACCTTGGCATGAATGCTATTCATTTTGGCAGTAGGCTTTTATAGCTTTTAAAACAGATTACCTTGTATGTCTTTTCTTTGTGTCTTTTCATTTTAATCTCAAATTTTAAAGAGATGTAAAACCACTTTCTGAATAGAGCTGTAGGGGATACCAATTCTGGTTTTGAGTAGTCTGGGATTGGAAAATTTGAATAGAAAATCACAATTAATGAAGTGTTAGGTGAATTTGATTTCATTTTGCTTTTTAAGTTTGTACTGTCAGCAGGACATGACTTGATTGTAGCGCTAAAGTGGCCATTTAAAACAAATTGCCTTGAAGAGAGAAGCATTGGGAATGGAGATCCCTTCAAGGTATTTAGTTTTAAATGAGTGCTCTGACAGCCATGCCCTTGACCTTGCACTATTTAAAAGCCTTCCATGTTTGCGCTGCGCTGGATTAATACAAGAATAAAATGAACACACAAAACACGGTATCATTTTTTTTTAGAGATACTGTGCTGCAACTGTTAATACTCTGCTTATACATACTGACCCCAGGCAGTGGCTAGGATGGCATCTGCAAACTAACGCCCCAAAGCAAAAGCTCGCCAAGTGCAAATAGACAAGAAGGGTAATTTCTGTCCTTCTTTCAGCTGAGAAGTTCTTTCAAACAAGCCTTTGGGAAGAAAAAGTCCACCAAGCCTCCTTCATCACATTCCGACATTGAAGAGCTTACTGATTCATCCCTTCCAGCATCCCCCAAATTGCCCCATAATGCTGGTGACTGTGGCTCAGCATCCATGAAGCCCTCACAATCTGCCTCAGCGTAAGTCGCTCCTTCTGCAAAATGCAGAAATATTTTTAAAAAACAGTTTTAGATCAAGGCCATATTTAAGTTCCAATCATATCTGTGCCAATTATTTTCAGATTTTTCTGAGAATGATGGGCAGCATTAGTTTCTCTTTTCATTTTTCTGTTTCATTTTCATATGTTAGAATTCAAGTGTTTCTTGATCTCATTCTTCATTTTTCTAAATCATAATTCTCACTTCTTTCCACGGGCATTTGTCCATGTATCTGTCTAACTGTATGTACATACAGGTCACCCCTTGTCTGGCCACCAAAGAAACGACAAAATGGCCCTGTGATCTACAAGCATAGATCTCGGTAAAGTGGAGTGTGATGCATGAAAACTGCAGAGATCCAGGTTCTAACCTAAGTAGTGTTTGCTTTTGCTTTTTCTAAAATCACTCACATGCATTTCAGCAATAAATGCCTTCTCTTTCTGTGTTTTCAACTAAAATTTGGTTTCCTAAAATTGATCTGCTGTCCAGTTTTCTTTGATCCCGTTAGATAATCTAACGTAACATTTTTATGGTAGCCCACTTTCTGGTAGTACAGTAGCCTCCCCTTATTTACCAGGGATATTTTCCAAGACCCCCAGTGGATGCCTGAAACCATAGATAACACTGAGCCCTATGTATACTATGTTTTTATTTTCTTTATACACATACCTATATGTGATAAAATTTAATTTTAGAATTAGGTACAATAAGTGATTAAGAGCAATAATAAAATAGAACATTATAATAATATTTCGTGATAATAGTTATATGACTGTGGTCTCTCTCTTCCTCAAAACACTGTAACTTTTGTTATTGTTGTTGTTTGAGGCGAAATCTCAGTCAACCAAGCTGGAGTGCAATGGCAGGACCTAGGATCACTCTGCAACCTCAGCCTCCTGGGTTCAAGCGATCCTCCTGTCTTAGCCTCCTGAGTAGCTGGAATTACAGGTGTGCACCACCACGCCCAGCTAATTTTTTGTATTTTTAGTAGAGATGGGGTTTCACCATGTTGTCCAAGCTGATCTCAAACTCCTGACCTCAAGTGATTCACCCACCTTGACTTCCCAAAGTGCTGGCATTACAGGTGTGAGCCACGGTAACTAGCCCAAAACACTGTAATATTTTTGGACCATGTTTGACTATAGATAACTAAAACCACAGAAACTAAAATTGTGGATAAGGGGGGACTTCTGTACAAGAATGAACACATTTTGAATGTGGAAAAGTGTTACGATGAGATAATTCTCTGTTTTATTTACTATTTAAATCTAATTTCCTCGTATGCTCATGACAGCATCTAGCACAGAACTCATATAGCACAGAGCCACTGTGCTTTGCCTATATAATTTCATCATTTATGTAGAAAGGAAGAACATGTCACTGTCATTTTGTGGCCAGTAAACTTGTCCTCAAATTTTAAATGAAAAAGATGTTAGCTAATATAAAACAATATTTTGACATTTCCTGCAAAGCTGTCCACAAAACAGTAAAACAGCACAAGGATACAATGTGTATCCTTCAAACAGGCCTCAGCTAACCTGCTAGTAGCATGGAAACCTGTGATTTAGCTGTGGTCTCCTGAATCAGCTGAGCCTAATAGCAAGGTTATATAACCCACCTATTATTTAAATGTCCAAAATTAATCTCTTTAATTTATTTTTTACAGTGTTTATATTGGATTTTTATGGTAACTTAAAGACAGTATTGTGGCAAAGTTATTTTTTGCACAATTTTACAAAAGAAGAAGTGAACATTTTAAGAATGCAATAACTGCTTTTATAAAAGAAGAGTCACATGTTGCAAATAGAGGTTTAAGTCCCTTGAAAATGTTGGAATGAAATGTAGTAATCTATGAGTTTTCTGCCTATAAATGTCACCAATAAAATAATTTTTAGGATCACTTTATACTCAGTAATAGTAGACTGTTTTTAAACCTCAAAAAATAGAAAAAAAAGATTTAAAGAAAAAGATATTTCCATTTTGAGCCTGTAAATGCATCACTGTTTGTAAAACTCTTTCTCCTTTTCTCTAGATTTTGCCAGCAGCACGTCATATCTGTACCTGCTGGATAATATTGCAATTCAGCCTTTAAAAGAGGCAGTGCTTTTCTTAATCCTCTGGCTTCCCCAGACCACTGATTTTGTTTGTTTCCTTCTTCAGGATCTGTGAATGCACAGAAGCTGAGGCAGAGATAATTCTGCAGCTGAAGAGTGAGCTCAGAGAAAAGGAATTAAAATTAACGGATATTCGGCTGGAGGCTCTCAGCTCTGCTCATCATCTTGATCAGATCCGGGAAGCCATGAACCGGATGCAGGTTGGTGCTGAAGCTCTTTCAGAGAATAAAATGGAGAAACAACAACAACAACAAAAATCCTGCTTATTCTGTTCTCTTGGTTAACGCAGAACAAATTCTACTTGAAAACCCACCTTAGAAATGTACTCTGTTTATTCAGTCTTTGCAACTCATTTCTTAGTACTGAATCGAGAATTTCGTCAAATCCAAGTTTGGAAGTAGGAGTGCAAACTGGCAGGTTGTATTCAAGAACCACTCAGAGTACTAGTGACTGGATTCAGGTTGAGAGCTAAGATTTTAGAGAGGCTACTATAATTCTTGCTTCTTCACTCTTCCATCATTTACTTTTATTTTGGCTTTTTGCCTGTCCTCTTGAAATCTGATTTTCAAATACTTTCACAAGTTTTCTATAGAAATACAAAAGTAATGAGGAAACCATAGAAATTCAACACAGGCTTTCTGAATATGGAAGTAAAAGTGATTTAGACTGCCATCTGTAAAAGCAAAGCTTTTGTATTTTTTAAAAACAACATCTAAAGGCTAAATTCAGAACCAGTCTGTGCTCAGGCGAAGTTTTCATTTTATTATTGTAAACCAGTAATCACTTGGTACCAGAGATGACTGACATAATGAATCTGCTGAGCAGATTCATCTGCTACTGTATATATTCATCTAAAGGATTTTGTTGTTTTTTTTTAATGACCTTAGGGTCCCTTTTGGAAGAAACAAAAACAAAAACTTTTTCAGATGTTAGATAAGATTCTGGAGTAATTTTAAATTACCTTATTTACATTATTTTTGTTTTGCTCTATTTTTCAACTGTCCACAAATTCATAGTAATATTACACATGGCATTATATACCTATAAGATTTTAACATCACTTTTAAAATGAGAAATGTTATGAATGATTCCATCATATTTTTCTTAACTCAAATGAGACCAAGTCCTGGAAAAATTCTCAAACACATGATTTAGTTAGAAAATAATGATAAAAATGTTGAATGGTTAATTTATCTGTATTTGTGAATTTGGGAATACATAGTGTGTGAGAGACAGAGAAAAAGATTAAATTTCCTTCTTTGGAAGGAAACCTTATTTCATATCTTATATTTGTTTGTTTAACATATTACCACATGCTTTATTTAACAAACAAGCTAATTAATTCTGGTAAAAGACTTGATGCTGTTTTCTCACTCAAACCGACTGAATTTTTTTCATGTTTTCCGTCTTCACGACAGAATGAAATTGAAATACTGAAGGCTGAAAATGACCGGTTGAAGGCAGAAACTGGCAACACAGCTAAGCCTGCTCGGCCACCATCAGAATCCTCAAGCAGCACCTCCTCTTCATCTTCCAGGCAGTCGTTAGGACTCTCTCTAAACAATTTGAACATCACAGAGACTGTTACCTCAGGTGACTTAGTGCAAATGCTTGCCTGAATCACAGCATGTCCATGAGTTAACGGGTGGGAAGCCTGGAATTTGGAGAGCTTCACATACTCCTAAAAATATTGCACTCTAGAAATAGTCCTATTTTGATCTTATGAATCTATTCTACTTAGTTATAATTATAAGAGCATATTCTGTGTCCAAAAGTCAATCTTAGAGAGAATGTCTACATAATATTTTTAAGAAATCACTTTTGCTTAGGAAGTACTTTCTCCATGATTATGACGATGAAGAAATAATACTCTCAGTGATGATATTTAGTACTTATGGATATAATAATAACCCCATGTCATTTTATTATGTTTTAAGTGTGCAAAAACCGATTTATAAGTGTAGCGGGCTTTATTTTCTAAATTTGACTAAGACCCTGCATGATGCTGCCTAGAGAGAACATAATGCTACTCTGTCACCCAGTCTGCAGCTATCTTAAATTTTCAGCAAACAAAAAGAATATACTGGATTCTGTTATTTCCATCAAGGGTACAGTTTTTATTTAATTGCAAATAGAATTATATGACATAATGTCATCTTAATATCTGATGAACCATCCAATCATAAAGTTTAACTGTTTCTGTGGAACAGTTCATTCAAGAGAATTATTTCAAGGATAGAGAATTTAGTCTAGGGAATATTTACATGAGGCTCTGTGGTAATTGTAAAGCATGGCCACCAGATGACGCTTGGAAACCAATAATATGTACGTTTGTAGCCGATGTTAGATTCCGTTATAGAATGGAGACAATACACTGCTTGCTTAAAACATATTAAAATACAGAAGGAAAAGGGAAATGACAGGGCATGTTGATATTGATTACATTTCCAATGAATCATATCTCTTCTACAAAGTCAGAATTTTAAAAATTCTGATACTGTGGCTGCTCTTCATAATATAATATTATGGCCTTCATCTTATATGTAAAAGGCAAGTGGGCAGTCCCTATAATTTAAGAAAACAACTTTTATAAAATCCTGGTGGGGATTAGAGGAAGAAAATAAATTCTGAGAATAAATATCAAATAAAACTATTATCAGAAGTGAAGTAAAAAAGCAAGAGATTTCAGAATTAAATGAACTTAGAGATCATTAAGTAAAATAAGACTATGGAAGTAGATGATAATCTGAGTGTTTAAATTGTACATTATGTTTTGTTATCTACACTTAAGAAAATAGTCTACAAAGGAAAGAGCACAAATGTTTAAATGTATACAATCTGACAGTTCTGGACAACATCCTCTATGTTGGCTTGTTGCTGATGAACCTGACAGAGTAGTGAAGTAAGATCTACATCTCATGGTAACCAATGCATTTCAGGATCCCCAGGCTTGGCTCCTAGGGAAAGACAAGGGCCAGTATCTTACTGGTCGCTGGTCAAACTAATGGCAGGATTCCACTGCGTTTTTAAATATAATTCTGTTTTATTTTATGAAAATATGATAAAGTTTGAAGGAGGCAAGTTTTAATACTGAAGGTGGTTTAGAAAAAATAGACATATATATATATATATATATATATATATATATATACACACACACACACACAAACTTAATGTCTGGGAAAAATAGAACTCATAAAGATAAATGTAACATCAAAAGATAAATATAACATCAAAGAGTTTAAATTTACAATTTCTATGTTTATTAGGGTTAACACATTTTTGGCCGTGATTAAGCATTTGAGGCAATTTTGGGAGAGGAGGCAAGCTTTACATTTTTTTAATACCTTTTTTGTTACCCATTCCGTAAGTTATTTTTGATATATCTTATTTCCTTCATTATTTTCCATAGTGATACTTATGTCTGAACTAAAAAAAAAAAAAAGAAAGAAAAAAAAAAGAAAAGAAAAGAAAAAAAAAAAAAAACCTTAAATCACACAACTAACTAAGGTTGTTTTCATTACCTTCACTCTTGTGTAGTGGGTTCAACACTTGGAAAACAAAATGAGTTTTTGCTGGGTCTTTTTGACAGAGAAGCTTTCTAGGTTTCATGATTAATCTTAAGAAAAAGAAACTAGGCAGGAAAGAGGATAATTGGCAGATATCTAGTTCCTGAAATATTAATTGCATGTTCCATGCATCCAGTCAAGACAGATGTTTGAGAAGCCTTCAGTTTTTGGCCAAAATTTCACTTGATTATAGTCAGAATGACAGACCTTTTTAATTCTTCTTTGAAAATGTAGACAGAGGACCATGACTTTTTTTTTTTTTTTTTTTTTTTTTTTTGAGACAAAGTCTTGCTCTGTCACCCAGGCTGGAGTGCAGTGGCATGCAATCTTGGCTCACTGCAACCTCTGCCTCCCAGGTTCAAGCAATTCTCCTGCCTTAGCCTCCTGAGTAGCTGGGATTGCAGGCGCCTACCATCACGCCTGGCTAATTTTTTGTATTTTCTGTAGAGACAGGGTTTCATTGTGTTAACTAGGATGGTTTTGAATTCCTGACCTCGTGATCTGCCTGCCTTGGCCTCCCAAAGTGCTGGGATTACAGGTGTGAGCCACCACGCCTGGCCGACTTATTTTCTAGTTAAAAACAGAAACAAACCAAACAAACAAAAATACAGAAGCCTCTCACATTAAACTTGCTGTCTTTCTCTGGACTTGTTTCATCAAGTGACTATCCTGTCAATATAAATTGCCCAGGGGAGATTGAGAGTCATGATGTGACCCTCCCACAGTCAACAGGAGGAGTTAGAATAAAAAGAAATAATGGTTAGAAGAGCAAAACTTATTACACACTGAGGAAGAAGTGTTTTAAAAGCATTGTCTTTTATGTTTTTCAATAACTCTACCAGGAAGGTGCTGTTCAAGACCCATTTTACAGCTGAGGAAACCAAGACTTGAGATGGTGACTATAATAATTTGTTCAAGATCATGAAACTAGTAAGCAGCAGAACTAATAATCAAATCCTGATTTGGATGAATCCAGGACCTGGCCTTTTCACTATTACATTAATTTTGCCTTAAGTAGACACATAATAAAAGGAAAGAACAATCATTAGTTCATTTTTGGTAAATATTTATCCTACTATTGTCAGGAGAAATTTCATATGGTAAGCATAGTTTTTAGAAGTAAATATGACATGAAATGAATAACGTACTCCCAGGCAAATTTAAGCAGATTATGTGGATCAACAATCAGGCCAACCCCCTTTGCCATGAACTACTTGGCCATGTGTGATTTGGCCCTTACTTATTTCCATCCACATCATTTCATACCACTCCTCACCTTCCCCTTGTCTCTGCATTTTTGCTACCCCAAACATCTCCCTGTTCCTTTAACATACCCAGCTCACACATCTCAGGCTTTTGTACTTGTTTTTGTTGACTGAATCTCTCCCTGGTTCTTCACTTGTTTAGCACTTCTCAGCCTTCTGGTCTTATCTCCAAATACCACTTCTTCAAGGAAGCCGTCCGGGATGACCTATTTAACTAGAACAGGCTCCCTTCAGTTACTTTCTGTTTCATTGTCCTGTTTATATTAGCAGAGTGCTTAAACTATTCTGAAATATATACCCCAAAAAAGCAAGAAATTCCTTTCTTTTTCACCTTGGTATTCATTCCCAATACTCAGCAAAATTTCTGATACAATGTATGCTTAATAAATGTCAAATATTTTTGAACATTTATGAGTAATTAAGACAAGTACAATAGTAATTTGATCATGAACTACCAGAAGTCTAGATGTGAACAGCCAAAGGTAAACCACTCTATACTTCTAAGACAAGGATCAAGGGCATAAAAATGACCAAGGAAGAGTTTTATTTTTGAGTGGAGTAGGTGAAAAGGTGAAAGACTATTAAGATGTTGACTTGAAAAATAATTACATTCCAGTGCAGGAGATTATCTTTGATGATTTAAAAATTGATTGCAAAATTTTTCATATTCTTCAAGCTCTAAAAGTTGTTTTAAATTGTTATGATCTTAGAGTATTTTTTACTGGTTACTTTTTTTTTTTTTTTTTACTGGTTACATTCAAAATTATATATCCTTAATTACTAAGAAAATAGAAATCATTCTAATTTCAGAAGTCATCTTATTAGAGTGTTGATTTCTATGATGCTATAGTCATAACCTTTTTTCTATAAACTTATTGTCAGAGCAGTTGAGTTCTCTTTTCACCAGACACATGTGCTCTTTAGCATGTAATGGAGTTTCATTTATCCACAGAACAGTGTCTTAATATTAATCATAGTTCTGTAATAGCATTGTTATCAAAGGAAAACATATATTTGGAATAGTTTGCCTTAATAATTCTCCAAATTGGAAATGAATCTGATATAATGTATTTTGAAAGCTTATCTTTAATCACCATTTAAAGGCTGATATTTTAAAGTTTAACTAGCTTTGTCTTGCTTCTGTAACTCTTAGCTGATTACTAGAAATACTATTTTGGTTTTGAAACTATTAGCATAAACGATTCAGGAGAGCACTCATAATGCCAGTATAATGCCATGGTTGAAATTCAATAACAGAACCTAATAATTAAAAGATAAGGTGAGTAGTTATATAGCTGGCTGTGTCAAATGGTTGAAAATAATTTCAGTTGACAGTCAATCTCAGCACCTTTGCATTTATAACTTACATGGATATTGAGCTTGGGTATTTTAGATTGGATAGAAAAATCAGATAGCTTGTCAGTTTGTCATGGTTATAATGGTGACTAAATATTACTCAGGTATAACTCAGACCTATGTGTAATAGAAAAAGAAACCTCTTATTTCCTCATCTAAAGGCAGTGAGTGGCCCAACACTTGAGTGAAGATCTTTGCAAGCAGAAATAAATTCTTAGATTGAAACTTTAACCCAGCCACAGTAATTCATCTTCTTGAAAGCTGAGGCTTTTCAAACCAGTTAGGCTAGAATGGGAAGCAAAACCCATTGAAAGATATAAAACTATGAAGGGGAAAAGAATGACAGTAAACAAATCCAAGCTAATGTTACTCTGCTGTGTTTGTCTTTCTTTTAAAATTTGATAGATATTTTGCTAGATGATGCTGGTGATGCAACTGGACATAAAGATGGCCGCAGTGTGAAAATTATAGTCTCCATAAGCAAGGGCTACGGTCGAGCAAAGGTACGTCTTTATTACTAACAGATGAGAATTACTATGAGTAAAATAGATCTCATATGTGAATATTTGATCTGGTAAATATCCGACAACAGTTGCAGATTGGCACTAGTTTAATATGTCATACAAACATGAAAGGGACAATAAAGAGATGACATCATCCTAGAGGTAGAAATGTGTCTTACATGGACCTCACATTCATTCACTGAAAATATCGTCAGCCTCTCATTTCTAAAACTTAAAAAAATAGTTATTTCTTTGACAAACATCTGGCTTAACATACTCTTTTGGTTTCACTTATTGATTATAAGTAATGTTTATTATAATGTGCAGTAACATGTTACTAGAGCTGTCAATATGGTCTTTATACAAAGGGAAGACTGTAAGCTAAATGAATATTCTAGAAATCAGAAAGACTCGTGTTTTACTAAACTCAGTAGGACAAATTCCATTGATGTGACACGTCTGTTTAAGCAAGGTCCTAGATGACCAAGCAAGTATTTTAATTTTTTTCAATAAATATTGCGTTCAAATTGTCAATGTCATTCTATCCTTTTCGTAACGAAAAAAAACAAACAAACAAATTTTAAGTTAAATTTTTAGTTGAGTGGCCAAAAATACACGTTTCTAAGTATCCTATTTTTTTTACATCAAGCAAATAAATATCCCTTAGAATTTTAAAGTACTTAATTAAGTTTGAAAGGTAAGATAGCACTTATGAATTCCTACCTTGAGCCAATATTCCAAGGATTCCAATGCCATCAACTTTCTGCCTGAGCTGCATATTTGTACCTACTTTTCCAAGTGGGTCTTTATGTGAGATTCTGTAATAGTCTTAGTGAAACATAAACTAACTTTAATTTAAAAGCAGCTTTTTATAAGGTATTGCATAAGCAGCCATTGCGACTGCATTATGAACACACTAAAAACAAGATTTTCTGCTCACGATAATTCTAACAGACAATGTATTTGAACATTATTTCTTTTTCTTTTTCTTTTTTTGAGACAAAGAGTCTCGCTCTGTCACCCCAGCTGGAGTGCTGTGGCCAATGGCGTGATCTGGGCTCACTGCAACCTACGACTCTTGGGTTCAAGCGATTCTCCTGCCTCAGCCTCCCAAGTAGCTGGGACTACAGGCATATACCATCACGCCTAGCTAATTTTTGTACCTTTAGTAGAGATGGGATGTCACCACATTGCCCAGGCTGGTCTCAAAATCCTGACCTCTGGATACACTCCCCTTGGCCTCTCAAGTGCTGGGATTACAGGCATGTGCCACTGCACTGGGACTGAATGCCTGAACGCTTTCTCTTAAAAAGCTTCCATGAAAGTAGTTGTCTTACTCTACCTGGACTGCCATAACAGAATAACAGACTAGGTGGCTTAAACAACAGAAATTTATTTTCTCACAGTTCTGGAGGCTAGCAAGTCCAAGATTAAGGTGCTAGCTGATTTGGTTCCTGGTGAGGGCTCTCTTTTTGTATTGCAGGTGATGGAATTCATGTTCTGGCCCCACAGTCTTACCTCAATGTCTGTAGGTAGGAAGAGAGAAAGACTACAAATCCTGAATTGTTTACTTTACCCAGTAATCCCATCATGAAAGTCCTACCTACCATTATGACCTCTAATCCTAATTACCTCCTAAAGACCTCATCTCCTAATACTATCACTTTGGGAGTTAAGGCTTTGATATATGAATTTTGAGGAGACACAAATATCATTTCGTAACAAGTAACAAAAATCACAGTCATCAGCTGGGAATTTCTCAACTTATTCTCCTAAAGGTATTGTATTCTAACACAGATTTTATCTGAATAATGGTGATAACCATTTACCCTTATGGTGCTAAATAGTACAGATTAAGAAATTGAGGCTCTGAGCCAGCTAATTGATTTACCTAAGGTCACATTTCTTAATTTGGTGGTAGGTATTATGTGTTACAGAATCCATATCTTCTAACCTATGACTCAGTGATTATTCTACCACCCTTAATGATAACATACTTAGTGACTAGAACCAGGATTGTAATATGTCAACTATCTAATTATATCTACTGGTATCATAATCACTATTTCACTAACCATTTGTAGTCATCATAATAGAGGCTCTAGCTAGATTACAAATTCTGAATTATTTACTTTTCTAATATATGTAGAAATTCCTCAAAATCCCATCCTGCAAAAAAGATAGATTTGGGATGATTATTCATGTTATAAAGGAATTACTTGCTTGATAAAATGAGTCCTATAGGTTTCTCTGGCAAAGCCTTTTAAACAGAGAATTTCTGATACATTCCAGATGGAACCTGTTTTGGAAGTATGCAAATGTCTTAAATTATCATAGCTAGTACTTTTTAAAGTGAGATTGGATTCTAGATTAAAATTAATAAAACAACTGAGTTTTGGATTTATCAAAGATGAGATCACAAAATAGTAAGATGAAGTCCTATAATTTGCATAATATAGTTCTCCTCTGCCTCTCTCACCATTTCCCTCCTACCAAGCTGCTTCTCTTTAGAAAATGTCCACTGCATTATAATGCAAGAGTATTCTTTCTGATTCTTTCACCTTTGCCTTCTATAGAACAGGTCATGAATCAGTTTTCCTTGACATACTGCTTTATCTCATCTCTTTCTTACTTGTTGCTGTTGCTGCTAAAAGTGAAAGTAAAGTTGCTATTGCTGTCATTTTTTTGTTTAGTTGGTTAGTTGGCTGAAATATGTTTTATTTTATGTAATCGTCCATATGTGTCTATTGTTACAGAAGCCATAGGCTTAATAAATACTTTAGTCTTAACAACTACATTAACAAATTTTAGTAGAAAACGTAGTGATAAGAAAGATGCACAGTTGTATTTTATCTTACTTTATTTTGTTCTTATTTAGGATCAAAAGTCTCAGGCATATTTGATAGGATCCATTGGTGTTAGTGGAAAAACCAAGTGGGATGTCTTAGATGGTGTAATAAGACGTCTCTTTAAGGTATGTTGTGCAAGACGCCCTAATATTAATTTTCAAATGTGTTTCTCTCTAGTTGTTTTCCTTAACTTCAATAGCATAGACACATATTTTCCTCTCCGCAAATAAAGAATGATTTCTCTTTGTGCTATTTGATATTAACAGTTCTTATATTACACATTTCTAATATTCTTGACAACCAGCTCTATATCCCTATGGGTTATGTATTTGTTGTAGATGAGTTGAACCTCTGTTTTGACTTTGTTTTTGTATGTACCATTTTAGGAATATGTATTCAGAATTGATACATCCACTAGCCTTGGTCTGAGCTCTGACTGCATTGCTAGCTACTGTATAGGAGACTTAATTAGATCCCATAACCTAGAAGTGCCTGAACTGCTGCCTTGTGGATACCTTGTTGGAGATAATAATATCATCACTGTGAACCTCAAAGGTAAAAAGAAAAATGAAAAAAAGGCACAAATTTAAATTTTAGCAACATTTTTTTCTCCCACCCCGCAGGTTTTTAGCCAGTTTCCCTTAAATTTTTTCTATTTGAAAACTATGTAGCATTTAAAAAATCAATATGACTCATTTCATACCAAAGTATTAAATCCTAGAGTCCTACTAAAAACAATAGAATCTAAGGAAATTAAGTTCTTTGAGTTCTGGGATTTAAAGATTTATCAAGACTCACACAAAGGAATGTGATTTAGGAACTTCAAATTTCTGGATTTTCTTAATTATCACCTTTTATTACAGGAGGATTTAAAACATTTAATGTGTATTCCAAAGTAACATATTCGTTGATGAATCTTTAGCTTTAAAATACATATACGTAATAAATACTCCCTAGGAATTGGGAATAGACATTTAGAATCAAGGATAGGAAATTCTGATAATTTTATTTGCTTTGGATGATGTGATTAATTATAGGGTAATGTAATATCTGAAGTATCTTTATCTTCATGATTCCTTGTTTGTTTGTATTAAAGAATCAGAATACATCTATATGTACTGTGAGTTAATAGGGGAATTTGTCAATATTTGATTTTATGATGAAGGTAATTGGGTTAGTGAAAGAAGATACTGTTGCTCCCTACTTAATTCCTTGCCAAACATAACAATTTATATCCTTCAAAAACTTAAGTGGTTGTACAACTAGGATGCATAATGAGAGATAGAAGAGAATAAGGAGGTGGGGAGAAGATAAACTAAAATAAAGAACACACAGAAACCGTTATATATACACGTGTATAATCTTCACATTTATACTTAACATACATAATCATCTTCGATAAAAGATGTTATGATAGAATTTATAATGCTTCCATTTCTCTGTGGAAACATAAGTGAAAATAAGAAGTGACAGTGAAGTGGAGCTTGAACAATAAAGAACAGCTTGCTTTTGTTTAGATGTTCACTCTGCCATATTACTGATATATTTTCTTCCTTAAAATGGCAACACATATTTGTGGGATAGAAATATCTAGGAATTTTTTTTGCAAGGACTGTATCCTATGACTAACCAAGCTGTTGCTGGTTAGCATGATATTATAAATTCTGGCTTATATAGAACAAGAAGTCATGCTATTTCTTTTGTTTCTTCTTTCAGGGGTAGAAGAAAACAGTTTGGACAGTTTTGTTTTTGATACGCTGATTCCTAAACCAATTACCCAAAGGTACTTTAACTTGTTGATGGAGCATCACAGAATTATACTCTCAGGACCAAGTGGTACTGGAAAGACCTATTTAGCAAATAAACTTGCTGAGTATGTAATAACCAAATCTGGGAGGAAAAAAACAGAGGATGCGATTGCCACTTTTAATGTGGACCACAAGTCAAGTAAGGTATGTTACAGAATTCTAAAAGAACAGCTCCAATTTATCCATAAGTGTTTTAAGCAATCAAATTATAAGATTGTGTGAGAATTCCATGTTGTACATGGAAAAGAATATCCATCTGTTTTTTTTTACTGGATCTGTAACCTGGTAAGTGACCAAACCCTGGTTCACGAATTTGAACAAGACTGCTATTTTCAGTAACATTCAGTTATCAGGTACTCCACCAGGCATTGGGAATATACAGAATAAAATGGCAGGGCCCCTATTGCATGGTTTCTCTTAGACATCCACCTAGGAGAGTAGAAAGAGGTCTGTGCACAAGCAAGAAGGAATAGCTTTTCTTGGAGGAATCAGAGCTTTATAAAAGGGTAATACTTGCTTGGGTCTTACAGGCAAGTAGGAAATAACATGGGTGTTGCAGCAATGGAGATTTGGCAATAATTAGAGTATTCCAAGCAGAAGTTCTGGGAGCAACAATTTGTTTATGTCACATCTCCCTAAAATTTTTGTTTAGAAACCTTAGGAAATCTGACAACATTCAATTTCACCACCAACTAAGGTCTAATGTGCCATAGTAATCAGTCTGAACACTCAGATATTAAAAAGGAATGAGGGTCTATACAACATAGCCAGTTTTTTTTCTGAGTAAAATTTTAAAAATCCTAAAAAGGAAATAGTTGGTGGCTAATGTATTTTTAACACTAACCTAGTTTTACCTGTAATTATTTATTAAAGTCTGAATCAATGAAACCTAAAAGTTTCTCTTGGGAAACTTCAACTATTATAAGCAGTACCTTGAGGGAATCCCAATTATACTAGGTCATATTACTCTTTCAAGGATAACCTGGTTCAGTGATCTAAACTGTCCCAGTTTCTCAGAAACCTCAGGTCTGCAAATTTTCAGAAATAAACCTGACTCCCAAAAGCAGCCCAACCCCATTAGATTCTTGAAGTAAACCAGGCATATAGCTTAATGAACAAAAAGTATTAATTTTCTCACCTGTAAATTGGAGGAAATGGTAGGGCTATTCTAAGAACTAAATAAATGAGTGTGTGTGTGTGTGTGTGTGTGTGTGTGTGTGCGTGTGTGTGTGTGTGTGTGAGACAGAGAGAGAGAAAGAGAGAGAGAGAAATAGCACAAGTAGCAAGCACAATATAAGGGTTACTTGCAATTTTTAATCATAGCCCTTGACTCCCAATGAAGATTTCTCTTATAAACACACACACATATGCACAGTGCCTGCGTGTGCACTCACACACACACACACACACACACACACACCATTGTTCAAAACTGTCTTATATGTATCCTTCAAGAACAATGATGTATGTAAAACACAATGGGCTCTCTTAAAGTTAAATAAATATAATACATAAATTCTGACTATTTCCTTGGAACTCAGACCTATTCAAATTGTAGTTGAACCACTATCTAAAGAAAAACATAGAACCTGAAGTAGAATACTTGACTCCTTGAGCAAAAGTAGGAAGAGCACAATTGTTTGTTTGCTTCAGCTGACATGTTTACTGCTTACTGTGAATTCTATCTCCTCATATCTTGATATAAAAGCCTTTTAGCACAGTTTTAAATATTTTCAGCCAAAAAACTATGAAAGGTTTTGAAAGGCCTCTTTACTTATCCCCAGTATTTTTTTTTCTCAATGTTGGTATGAGAGACCTCTTTACAAGTTACTTCTTTTATGGCATAAAAAGTGTTTAGAAAACAAGAGCAAAATAGATTTATTGGAGAAGACCATGGAATTTTGATAAAGTGCCTGTAAAATAGGGAAAATAGTACAGCTATTCTAAGGACTAAATGAATGAGTGTGTGTTGCATGTGTGTATCTGTGAGAGATAAGTTCACTTAAAATCAAGGTTTGAATTTAATAGATGAAGCTTCATTAGAATATAGTTGACATGCTAAAAAAGTAGGTAATTCCCATTTATTATAAAACATAGCTTTCCCTAAAATATGTATATATGTGTGTGTGTGTGTGTGTGTGTGTGTGTGTGTGTGTTATTTTTATTTCAGCTTAGGAAAGAAGTTTATTGCTTAGACATGTTCTATTAAGAACATGTTAGTGTCCTTTTAACATTTTTGATTAAATATTTCCAACACTTTTATTTTTTGCTTTTTCAGAGGATAATAATTTGTGCCATTATTAGGTCAGTTCAATATTTTATTGCAAAATATGGGCAGGGCAACAACATTGCCAAGCATTGGCGGAGCTAATCATGCTAGGAAACGGTCATAGGAAGAAACTCTTTAACAAATCACAATAGCATTTGTTCCTAAGAAAGCATGAAGTATAACTGAAAAAATGTTTATTCTTTATGGTTGAAGATATGAACAAGCTATCAGTAATACTGAATACCAACTCATTGCCAGAGAATTTGGCAAATTTTTGCCAAATTGACAGAGAATAGCCACTATTTTCTTGGGAGTTGGGGTAAGGGTAAGTGAGGACAAACATAAAAATAAGAGGGGATGACAACTTAAGATTGTGTTAGGGATACTAACAGGGTAGATTTACTAAAGTAAAATGTTAATGAGGCATGAAATAATAAATCCTGTTCCAGAAAACCTGGAGCTGTTTAACTGCTGACGCATTTTATGCTGTGCCGTAGATAGCACTGAAGAGACAAATCCAAAAAGCACTTACTGATTCAAAAAAAAAAAAAAAATGGAATGACAAATCATCAAATGAAAAACATCTTTTCATGTTTTCGGTACCTCTGCACTTTACATTCTGTTCTTCTTCCCGCATTTCAAGCTCTCCCTCAAGCTGCCAGCTGGAATATTTTGATTGAGAGCAGTACACATAAACAATTATGCTTTGTGACATTCCATATAGTAGGCCCAGAAGGCTAGAGATGGATTTAGTAGAGAATACGTGGCCAGCTGAAGCCATTTAAAAAGTTAGGTTGGAAAAGATCAGAAAACTGGACTTGATAGATTCCTTTTTAGTATGTCTGGTGCCAGAATCTGAGAAAACAGTGATCTAGCATTTTTATGTAACTGTGGTGTTCCACCTACAGTTTCAGAGTATGGGATTCATCTCATTGTCAGTGTCCATCTGGAAGATATGTCTGTTTCCTTCTACCTGAGTAGATCTGGAAAAAAGACTTTTAATGATAGTCATCAGTGCCTCAATCTAAGATTTTATTTTCATCAAGCTGAAGTGGATATCATGAAGTTATTTCAAGGAAATCTGTGAGAAACTCTTAAGTTACATGAAAAAATTATATTTGTGTTTGCCTGTTTCTACATCCATTGGTTCATACCTACCATCAGATTCCCAAGGGATCTACCATCCTCTTGAGATGAAAGAAAGCCACACTAGAATTAGAATCTAAAGGCTCTGATTGTCTAAAAATGACCCAGTGATCTGCTAATTACAAAATTCAATTCATTTGTGCCCGCCCCACTTTCTTTCTCTCCCCTTCTGACATTCACGATTGTCATTCTCTGTTTGTTTCCTACCCCCTGGTAAATTCCCTTTCAGTTTTTTTCACTCTCTTCTCTTCCTTCTCTTCCCAGTAAATGAAACTGTTTTTCTCTATAATGAATTATTCTGTTCACCCTCACTTTTGTTCTTTGGATGACTCTCATGACTTCAACTTGTGTTGACTTCCGTGGTTGACTCCAATTAAGCACTATCAGCCATGCACACTCTCCCAATTTTGTAAGCTTTCTGTTATGTTACAAATATGTTTCTATTCACCTACTAAATATACATGTTGAAAATTGACAATTTCAGCGCCAAACACATATTGTAAATCCATCCTCTTTCACTCCTCTCCACCATAACCAACCTCCCCCCCAGATTAACATCCTCCTCTATTTCTTGGATTTCAACAATTATTTTGTAACTGCATGATACACAATCTCCCTTAAATTTCCATTCTTTCGTTTTTGGGATATATTCATTCACCTCATGGAACATAGAACATCTTTTCATAATTAAAATCTCAGCAGATTAAAATTTTTCAATAGTTTCTTATTGCTTTCTGTACTAGATCAAAAACATCACACTGTTCCTTGTTCAGACCTTTAGTATCTCTAGGCTTCAATAATTTCAATATTCTCTTGGCTGGTCTCAATTCTTCCTTTGAGTATGTTTGCCACATGTTAAATCACAGCTTTGACTACTTACTCAGATCACTAGAACAATGTTTCTTCACTGCCAACAGGAAAGGTTCAGTGATCTTACTAATCATTTAAGGTTGCAAAGTTTCCTTTCCAATTTCATTACCACCATTTCCTTTCACAAAACACATACTCTTAGCTTATTTCCTACATGGATATCATATTTCCATGTTTCTGACTGATTATTCTGTTTTTGGAAAGCTCTTCTCTCCTGTTAAACATCAAGATATTACCCAATCTTAAAAATAATAATAGCAAATAAGGGAATAATAGCAAATAATACTGCCACCAACAAGCCTTTTTCAGAGGCTACAAGCAATCTTTGCATACTATAAACAAAATCTTTGATCTGTACTTTTTTGAAGTAATGTATTATTTTGACTGAGAATTATATAGGTATATGCCTGACCTTATTCCAGAAAGGTAATATGATTCTTAAATGCTATTTCCATTTCTAATTAATTCTTATATTTTTCACATTTCTGTTTCCTTGGATAAATAAATTGCTTATCTCTACTGAAAACAGAGAAGCAATTGAACATATCAATATTTGACACTTGTTTATATAATACAATGCAACTTCTTTTGCATGGATTCAGCCTTTGTTCTTTTTTATTGCCACCACCACTGGCATGTACTATAATTTTCTGTAACAACAGAACACTTATTTCTCAAAACATATCAAACACATACACTTTTCAACTTTCGCTTTTTATTCTTTAGACTTCAATCTTTTTTTCTTTTTTGCTTTTTTTGCTTTTTAACCAACGTACTCTGTTGTTCCGTGAACCTTAAGACTGGATTAGATGCTTCTCTTAAGTATCCCTATCATGTTTTGTGCATTTCACTTATCACACTGTATTGTGAAACACTTGCTGGCCTGTTTCCGTGCTTATGAACTCTAAGTTCCTGAAAGACAGAAATTATGTTTTATCTCTAAATCCTTGGTGCCAGTAGTACGCTTCAGTTGGAATTAATCTCTTTCCCTCCTGTAGGCTACATGCCCCCTTTATCTTCTCTCATGGAATATTTTACCTTGCATTGTGTAAATTCATCATGATTTATGTGTGTGCCTACCACCCCTCTCAGGCTCCAGCGTTACCTCCTCCAGAAAACCATTCTTGACACCCAGCATCCAGGCTAATTCTCTTTCCTTGACTTCTCATATCTCATAATGTATTTATGATATTATATTGAAATCATTTGTCATATTTAAATTCCAGTCCCTAATGTGACACCTCTTAAAGCTTACAGGGTAAGACAGCCTGATTACCCCTTTTTAGTTCCCATGTCCAGAAAAGTACTTGGTGCAGTTCATAATAAATGTTAAACCTACTTAACCACTATTGATAGCAGGAATAATACTTCACTATTTTTGTATACCCAGGGCTTAGTCTGAGGCTGTGAACACAGTAGATAGATAGTGACTATTTTATAAATGAGTGAATGACTTAATGTAGCTAAATTTGTGATATAAATTTTATTTTTTTCTTTTAAAGTAAACATAATTCTCCAGAATATTCAGCAGTTTTAAACATGTATTTCTGCATTCTGTGACTCAGACAAAATTTATTTTGTGTGACTAGCTCAATAGAAAACTAATAGTACTTTATTTCTTTAATAAATTTTATATTTGAATATAAATAAAAATAACTAAATGCCTCAAAATCCTGGCCATTGTTTTATCTCCTACTTTTAGTTCAGCAGTGGTATTACAGACAGAGAGCAGTTGCATCTAGAGTGAACAGCTCACCTATTTACCTGGCTGCCAGAAACTGGAATCGTGGAATTGTTTTATAAACCTGAGCACGATTTGCAAATTGAAAATGTCATTGTAAATATGCAAATATTATGGAAATGTTCTTACTGATTAGGATAATTTTAAGAAACCTAATTATGTTCCTGGCCTACCCATCTGTGAGAGCAGTCAATCAGCAAACTGGTTATCATATTTAGATTAAAAGCTATTAGACAGGAACAACACCTGTAAAAGAACCAAGAAACTCAAGAGATACTAAATGTAATGTTATATTTCACCAGGTGAAATATAACTAATTTTTGTCTTTGTTTAAAATTACAGCAGTTGCATGCATATTATAAATAAATAAATAATTAAGTATACTTGTATCAGGGTCCTATGGCCGCAGTTTGAGATATACCCAACCTACATGAATTAGAATTAAAACATTAAAAATATCAGTGGAATCTGAGAAGTGCCATTTTCTATTTACTTCATACTTGAAATATTAAAGTTGCTAAAATTTACTTTTATCATTGAATACCAAAACTCAGAATAAAATCTCAAAATATATGGTTTATCATAAGAGTTTATATCCAGAACTCGTTTTGGCTTTTCTTTCAGGGAGAAAACCACTGAGAAATAGGCCTTCATGTTTATACTTTCAGGTTTGCTGCAGATGTTTGGTACTGGATCTTCTATTGCTTTCCTTTTTCTCTCTTTTATTCAAAAAGTTTATTCTGTCAGCAATATATGGTTTTTGATGTGTAGAATAAGAGTTTATATCAGTTGAATAATCTATGACTTTAATGAAAGAAACTGAATAGAAGACAAAGCATGCTACTCCTAAAATATTAACTGCTTACCATTAGTGTATATTTATCATTGATGTTATCTGTTTTTTTCATTTTTTAAAAGGAATTGCAACAATATCTAGCCAACCTGGCTGAACAGTGTAGTGCTGATAACAATGGAGTAGAGCTCCCAGTTGTAATAATTCTTGATAATCTTCATCATGTGGGTTCTTTGAGTGATATCTTCAATGGTTTCCTCAATTGTAAATACAACAAATGGTATGATTATCAAATATTTTGAATAATGAAATATGAAATAATTGTCATCAAATTTGCTCTTTTGTGCCTGTATGCACTTTGCTTTTTAATTTTTTGAATATTTAATTTTTACTTTTGAAGTTGACACATAAAATTTTACATATTGATTGTGTACACCATGATGTTTTGAAGTAAATGCACATTGTGGAATGATTAACTCTAGCTAAATAACATATGAATTACCTGAGTAGTTCTTATTTTTAGACTTACAATAGATGCCATTAATTTGAGAAGCCCTCTTTAATATTATAGTATAGTTTTAAAGAATCCATATGTATTCCTTAGAATATCTATGTATTCATTCAACAACCATGTCCCAGGTACTTTTATGAAAACATTGCTTCCTTAATGATGTTAGCTTCTGGAGACATCATTTGTGAAACATTTGTAAAACCAGTATCAATGATGGAATAGTTTTAATCAGGGAAATTCAAGCTAAATGGAACCTTTACAGCCCTGGTTTCATTCTCAGTTTATATCAAAGTTTAAATTTAACCTTTTTATAGAGATACACAATACATTCAGATATAGCTCCCTCTATTAATGAGTATGATTTTTAAATATTTGCAATGAAAGGAAAGGTTAAAGTAAGGTATTAAAGAAGATTCATTGTGGCATGGCCTCTAAAGAAAGGACATATAAGAATACCAACATAAATTAGTTTTAATAGTGCTGAATATTCCAATTATCTCTGCTAGAGATTTTCTTGACATTACAAACAGATGTGAGACAAAATCTCTGTGATTTTTCTAACTAAATTCTTTACTCAAATAATGTAAATTACAAATAAACTAAGACTCGGGGAAAGAAAATACCTTGCCTTGATGCCAGAGCTAGAATTAAAACCTCAAGTATTAATTTCTAGTCCAGTGATTTTTCTCATTTTCCATTACAAAATTACCCTTTAAAAGACAAAAATTAAAATAGAATAATCCATATCTATCCTAGTTGTTTTCTAAAATAATTTTAATGAATTAATCACTTTTACCTCCAGTAAATTAAAATTTTCTATTTATTTTTTGTAGTCCGTATATTATTGGAACAATGAATCAGGGAGTTTCTTCATCACCAAATCTAGAGCTGCATCACAATTTCAGGTAAAGTTAAATTGAAGATTTGTTTGCTTGTTTGTTTTTTGTGCGTGGGGAGAGGGATGACATTTTGTTTGATTTTGGGGGTTGTTTTTTCCATTTTTATTTTGACAGATCTTGCCAGGGATGACCCGTAGTGTGAAAGTAATTCTCACTGCTTCTGGCACTCTTCATCAAGTGAATAGTTTGTAATCTTCAACCTGTAATCAGATGTGTTTCTTTAAACAAAAAAAAGAAAAAATAAGAGAAAAGAAATGTTTTTTTTCTCTTCACTATGTCCCTGGTTAAAGTAGAGCATATTCCTTCTAAGTGTGAGAAATGTGAAGAGAGTTCCTATTTCAGGATTCGTGATTCTCCTACAGAAGAGTGTTCAGCATATAGACTCCCACTCACTTCTGACGCACATACGCTTCCTTTTAGCTCAAAAAGTAGAGTTAGTTACATTATAGCTCTCATGCTAGTAGACTTCCTAGCACCTTTGATCATCAAAATGTGGCCACCAATTGAAATGAGAACATAATTATTTTCTATTGTAAAAATAATCACGGTGAATGTAAAATATAATTTATATAAAAATTTCTGATTTTTTTTGTAGGTGGGTATTATGTGCAAATCATACAGAACCGGTGAAAGGCTTTTTAGGCAGATATCTTCGAAGAAAACTGATAGAGATAGAAATTGAAAGGAACATACGCAATAATGACCTAGTCAAAATTATAGATTGGATTCCTAAGACATGGCATCATCTCAACAGTTTTTTGGAAACACACAGTTCTTCTGATGTTACCATTGGTGAGTTCCAAAATCACAATATGCCATTTTCCAGGAACTAACAGTACTTGGTAAATATGGCCAGATTGGATGGTAGAAAATAACAAGCAAAGCTAATGTTTTTTCAAGATTCCAGAGATTTAAATTTATTTTTTTTCTCCTGAAAGTTTACTTTCTTCTTAGCTTTGTATCTCCCCTTAAATCCATTTTGTCTGACAGTTAAATATCACTGAGATATTTAATATTTGATATGAAATATTTGCTAATATATTACTGAGATCAAGTAAGTTCAGTATGGACAAATATCTAAAAATCAGATAACCACTGGAAATGAATGGTATCTTTTGAGGATACTTTTCATGCTAAAAACAAATTTGGCTAAATAGCCAAATTTGTCAAATAAAGTTATGAGAAAAGATTTTAGTTACAGATAATTTAGATATTTTGTAGATAATTTAGGTATTTTGTATTTTTCATGAAAACAAAACTGTTTGAATTATTTCTCTTTAGTTCACATAAAGATGTTTACATTTGTATTCCTTCTTTAATTGCACATACAGAAGTCTCTTTCACGTTGTTATAGATCATAAAAATGTACTCACTGTAAACACAGTTTAGATTAGAAAGAATTCCAAATGGGGAACGAAACACTCATGCCAGGTCCCAATTCTGCAAATAATGATGTGTTTTACATTCAGCAATTCATTTCAGCACAGCTTTGTTATTTCTAAAATGGGACAGGATGACTGGATTATGACTTTTATGATTTTTCCTAACTCTAGTATATTGTGTCCTAGATTAATATTTATTGTAAAAAGATAGAAGAGGCTAGGATATTGGGTCTTCAATATAATGAAGCTGGCCAACAATATAATTTTCTAGGAAATTTGCAAGAAATATATTCAAAAATGGTGTCTAGGTATGTTTTTAGATTATTAAATATAATTCTTAAAATATTTTGTTATTTGTTCATTCTCAGGTCCCCGGCTTTTCCTTCCTTGCCCCATGGATGTAGAAGGTTCTAGAGTGTGGTTCATGGATCTCTGGAACTATTCTTTAGTACCTTATATTCTGGAGGCAGTGAGAGAAGGTCTTCAGGTATAGTACTCAATTTTCACTGCTATTAAAAAAAAAAAAGCAAAAAAAAAATTTTAAAGCAAAAAACCCCAAAATTATCTGGATATTTATGGAGAAAACTAAAGGCATGAACTATATAAAAATAGAGCAATAAAGTTTTCAAGAGCAAATAGTTTATAATATTTTGTCTGTTCTGAGAACAAATATGTAAGAGAAAGAAAAGGCATAGTTATTTCAACAACTACACATTTAAGTCCAAATTGTTGTCATGGATGTTTACAGATTGTTTTTATTAGATAACTAATTAATTGCACAGTTATACATCTATGTCACAGCCATGTTTACATGACCCTTGACCATTTAAACTCTTATCACATAATTTATCTTTATTTCTCCCTCCCTTTTCTCCCTCCCTCCCTCCCTTCCTTCTTTCCTCCCTCCCTCCATCTCTCCCTCTCTCTTTCTTCATTTCTCTTTTCCTTTCTTTCTTCATTTATTTATTTATTTATTTATTTATTTATTTATTTATTTTTGAGACAGAGTCTCACTCTGTCACCCAAACTGGAGTGTACCTTACAACCATGGCTCACTGCAGCCTCAAACTTCTAGACTTAAGTGATGAAGATTTCCATGTAGCTAGGAATATAGGCACACCCCACCACACTCCGCTATTTTTATTGTTGTTATTAATATTATTATTTTAGAGATATGATTTTACTATGTTGCTCAGGCTGGACTTGTTTTTTCTTTTTTAATACTTAATTTTTGACAAGTAGCTTTTGCTTGTTAAGTTTCCTGTTTTTAGTATACTTCATTGTTTGAAGCCCTTTAATATCACTTGCAGGATCCTTTACTATTTTGGAGGAAGTACTCTAAATTCTAAGGCAGTCAGTTGGTCTTTTGATCTATGACAAATTGGTTTAATAGCATCTTTGCTCTTCCTCTCATGTGCCTGATATCTCAAGGCCCTGTAACCAAGGCCCTTCTGTCTTTTCTTAACTAAAAAATGAAAATGTATCACAAAAAGAAATCCATATTTCTCCAACAAAACACATTGTCATTTTTCCATAAGTCTTGATATTTCCTTAAGTTGAATTTGAAATTGTGATATTATAAAACTCTTTAAAATGTGTGTAACATAATCAACCAATTTATTAAGGATGAATCATGTCTCCTTTTCAGTAATTCAGCTGAGGCATCTATATTTATGATTTTTATAAAACTACTACTAGAATTAAGATACAGTTTATGTTTTACGCATTCTATCATCTATAATGCTGTGTTTTTATTTTACTGTCTAAAAAATTTTCCATTTATTTTTCCCTCTTTCACTCCCTTTTAATATCTTGATCTCTTCCTCTAGTAGACTGGCATTCATTTTACTATCATTTAGAAGTAAAATGATAGTTCTGGTGAATGTGATGAATTTTATTAGGATACCCTGAAGCCTCAGAGATAAAGCTAAGATCCTAAAGAATGCTATTGATTGGTTCTACTCTAGATTTAAATAATCAAATTTAACACTTTTAAGGATATGGGTCAATCTACCCCAAGCAAGTACCTCCAACAAAATAAAAGCTTATACAAATGTTTTCATTTTTCAAGCATAACATATCTTGTCTCAGGATTCTTCTAAAACTATTATACTACCTAGGATGTAAGTTGGATGTTTCATTGGATGTTTCAATGTTAATTATTTGTACCAAAAAAAATTATTTTATGAAAATTTTAGAACTCATAATTGTAAAGTTAATATTTAAATACATTATTTGTTCTCTAGCTATGGTTTTGGTATTAACAAACCATTATCTAAGTATTTACAAATTAAATTCTCCTTATTTAAGATTTTCTTGCTAATAGAAAGCTAAAGAAACTTTGTAAAAACTCCAAAATGATAATGCCTAAAACTGCTTAGCTTCCTTAAATCTCATTTCAGAAGGTGCATGCGTTCTTTGTTTCATATTTAAATTAATATTATTTATAGAATATTATGTGGAGAGTTATAATTCTATAAAGTTTCCATTTGGGCAAAAGTATAATCACTTAAGGACTAGTTTTTCAAACTAAAACTGAGAGCTACTTCAAAATTATTTTTTAAGAGGGATAAAAATGTCTCATTTCTTGCTGTGGTTCAGGATGTTTGGTAGTAGTTTAGTGTGAAAGATGAAGCAACTGTGATGTAGGGGTTGTTGGGGAAGGGGAATTCAGCACACAAGAAGGGAAAAATAGGAAAATCCTTTGGTGGGTAGACAGTTCTCAGCTATTGAACACTATGCTGGGCCAGAAAAGTCTATCAGCTGAAAGTATTTCTAGGGGAACAAGAAGCAAAGGAATCGTATCTGTCACAATCCATTCTCATGGATCTACTGGCAACAAAGAATCTTCGATTGGAGGAAGAGGTGGAGAAAAAAAAGCCTGGTAGCAAAAATGGCATTCTAAGTCCAGAGTAATAAAAATAATATCTTCAGATAAAGGCTGATTTTGTGTGTGTGTGTGAAAAACCTTATGGGGAATGCTCTCTGCCAGATGTTCTAGTTGGAAAACATGTTGTGATACAATGGGTTTTTATTTTTATGCTGGTGATTCTTTCTTAAAAAGTCAACAATCAGTTCATCTCATTCTGAATATTTATATTTCTCTTTTTTCAATTCTTTTTCTACAATATGTATTTCACTCTGAACTGGGCACATTTAGCTTTTCATTGGTCATTTCCAATTTTGCTCTCCTGGCTGGTTCTTTAAAAGCCTGAAATCAGTTGATTCTCGCCTTACATTAAAACAAACATAGTTAAGCTTTCCAAGAATTATGCATGTTTTGCTTCAATTGGTTTAAGTTGTGTAGCATGCTGTATTTTATACCTATAAAGTTTGTAACTGAGAGGAAACTTTTGCTCTATAACAAGATTACTATTTTTTTAAAAGTCTAATGATTGTCACCTCTGTTATCATCTCCTAAGGAAATGCACAGATATCAGTAGCTAGGCTCCCTTTTGTTTTAGGTAAGCTCAACTTCTCCAGAAGAAGCTCAAAAGAAAACTCCAAGGCAGTCCATAAAATTTTTGTGGTGTTAGTGTCCATCATTTTGCCTTTTGTCTTACTGAACCAAACTATATAAAACAGCCATCTAACAACAAACCAAAGTATGTTACCTGAGACCAAATGTGCACCTGCTAACCGAGATTGTCCTTGGCAAAGCAAGTCAAATGGGGAGGGAAAGTAATGTAAGGAACAAGTGTCCCTATGTTACTGCCCTTGCCCCCTTCTCTTAATTTTCACTTTTTTGTGCCCCCTTGTAAAATTATAATTTTTTTTTCAATGTCTCATTCTTCTCTTCAGGGTGCTCTTTCCAGTTTGGGTTCAGCCTTGCTTCCAGCTTAAAAATGTTTAACATTCAAGAGACTGGATTTATCATAATTGGATTCATCTTAAGTCTTCTATTCCACTGCCAGTACTTTATTCTTCTATTCCACTGCCAGTACTTTAACCAGGCTATATCATCTCTTTCTTATTGGGCAATTTACCCAATAATGGTTCTTGTAAAGTTGATAATTCAGTATCCTATTTTTTATCCTCTTTTACTAGTGGCCTGAAACACAAAAATCTAAAAAGAGTTTTTACAGAATGCAATGGAATTAAAGAAGAAGTCGACCACAGGAAAACTGTTATCAGAGAAAGTATTCTCACTCTAGAAGAAAGTTTGAGTAGAGTGCATTAGGTAGAAAAAAATAAATTCCTTTACTTTTATTTCCATCTTTCCAAGGTGCGCTTCACTAGAGAACTCTATTTAAAGTCAAGCATATTTTTTAAAAATCTTCCATAATTGAAGCTTTTATTTTTCACCCATTAGTTTTCTCTTGGTTTGTAAAATTACTAGTAAATGAAATGTGGGTGATCATTTCTATGTGTATTTATAATACACCTTCCTTATATTCTCCCCCAAATGCTGACACCTGTTGCAGATGTTCAGCTTTATTTTGTCTAGCCTTCGAGTTTAAATTGAGCTATGTAGACAGATACATGTTTAAATCTGAAGAATTGTATACAGATACTTAATTCCCTTGAAAGTATCATAAGAACTCAATGTGTCAAAAAATCACATCCAACTAGTAGTCCCCTTTTTAACTGAATAGAAATGCATTTTATATATGCTAAACATGTGGTCAACTTTTAGATGTATGGGAAACGCACACCGTGGGAAGATCCTTCAAAGTGGGTGCTTGACACATACCCATGGAGCTCAGCATCTCTGCCTCAGGAGAGCCCAGCCTTACTTCCGCTGCGACCAGAAGATGTTGGATATGAAAGCTGCACATCCACTAAGGAAGCCACAACCTCAAAGCACATTCCACAAACTGACACAGAAGGAGATCCCCTGGTAAGAATCTTGATGTTCATTTCTTCCTGTAGAATATGACTATAGTGTGTACTCATTAGTATTTAGTCACTTCTATCAAAGACATTTGTTATCCTAGGCAACATTTGGAACAGTTGTAACCCTGTTATCTTTGGCCTGCTTTCATTGGATGATAATCTTAAAATGAAAACCAAACTTGTATGTTTAAAAAGAATCAAGAAACATTACAACCTGAATGAATTCTTAGACTATAATTCTTCCCTGATTAAGCATCAAATTGTATATGTAATTAAATATAATTTTTAAATAGCATGACTCAATTCAATAGGCATTTGAGAGAAAACTCTATCTTGTTCTTAAATAGAAAAACAAAAAATTATGGTGTAATGTACACATGGAGAACTAAAAAATATTTTGCCTATATCAACTAACCTGACTAACATTATGGAATGGCTGTTCTGTTCCCTACTATAGAGAAGGATAACCTGACTTGGAAATCAAATGGAAGTTATGATTTATTTACTTTTTAAAACAGTGGAATAATTGAAATAAAAGTATGTAAAACTCTAAAGTATGAATATTCTGAAAATATTAAGTATATAGAATTAGGAAAAAACACTTTTTATATATCTATTTTTTATTTGTATAGTTTACTTTCAATATATTGATATCAAATGTAAAGTGTTATTAGCTCACCATTCTATGACTAAAGAGCTTATTGGACTTGTACAACCAATACAGAAAGAAAAGATACAGGTACTAAAATAAAAGTCATTATGTTGCTTAAATCAAACAAACACAAAACAGAAATAATTAAAAATAATAACCTAAGGCCGGGCGCGGTGGCTCAAGCCTGTAATCCCAGCACTTTGGGAGGCCGAGGCGGGTGGATCACGAGGTCAAGAGATCGAGACCATCCTGGTCAACATGGTGAAACCCCGTCTCTACTAAAAAACTACAAAAAATTAGCTGGGCATGGTGGCGCGTGCCTGTAATCCCAGCTACTGAGGAGGCTGAGGCAGGAGAATTGCCTGAACCCGGGAGGCGGAGGTTGCGGTGAGCCGAGATCGCGCCATTGCACTCCAGCCTGGGTAACAAGAGCGAAACTCCGTCTCAAAAAAAAAAAAAAAAAAAAAAAAAAAAAAATAACCTATGACTGTACCTAAGGACATAAAATCACTTGATATTTTAGGGAATACTCTTACACTAACAACCTTGACACATACACACCATCATCATCTCAGCTAATCATTCTTAACATTTTGGGAGTTTCTTGTGGAAAATCTGATAAACTTTCAATATCCTCTCCCCAGAAAAATGCACAGACACTGAAAATTGGGCATACAATTTTAAGACTTTCATAAAATCACTGAAGTATATACATAGACCTACTTAGAATCCAGGGATTCCCTGTTGATTTCTGACCTAGGCAATATATTCCTTAAGAGCCCAGACTTATAATTTTATAACATGGTACATGGCCTTTTAGGTGATACACAGTTAGAAATCAACAGTGGTGGGGAAATTAGTTTGGATCCAGCATAATTGTGAGCATACACTAAATAATTGCTGATAGAATGATTAATAGAGTAGATATAAGCTTTAGAATGTGAGTATGGATTATGTTATCTGAATTCCTCAAAAAGTCCGGTCCTACTGTTGCAGTTTTTATATAATGTGTTTGTTTTATAAGGAGAGGTGTTTATAAGATTTGTTCTCAGTTTTAGTCTGTAGAGTATTAAACCCTTAGGAAATGCTCCCAACTTTCCCAACTCTCATAGTTCAGGTCAGCTAATTCCATAAAGCACCCTTTTTCCTGGTTCTGAATGCACTTGTCTTCTAGTACAAGAAAGAAATTCAAGGTTTCCCATTCTGGCATGAGAATTGGAGAAAAAAATTCCTGGTTCCTAACCCGGTGCACTATTTAATATCTTAAGAAACAGGGTGTTACGATGTCTTGCATGCTAAATGGTAAGACATCATCTAAAACTAAATCTTTGGATCAGGCATTCTCTGATTTAAAAAATAAATATTTTCTATCTGTTTTTATTTCTATATATTTCTGTAATTACTAACATGAAGCCAACATATATTTTCAGCCATTCTAAATCAGAAATCCTAGAAAACATCCACTATTTAGGGTCAGAAATCACCATAGCAATGAGTATGGCAAAGAAACAGGAAAGAAGAGAGGAGAGACTTTCTGAATCTGAACGAGGATGCAAGTTTTTGGTATATCTCACATTATTTTAAAAATACAAGGTGTATTCATGATTAACAACAAATGAATGTTAATGAGTCTGTCCTTGGTGCTATGACCTGGTGATCAGGAGATAAATACGGTATTATTTCTGACCTCAAGAATCTTAAATTCCAGCAGTGAAGAGAGGCTTCTACCTATATAAAGTGCAGTAACATAATAGAGGTACATGTTAGGTAAAATTGTGCGTTCATTGAGGACACAGGTAGAATACATTTTTACAGAGGAGATGCTTGAGCTGGATCTTGAGTGATTAATAGGATTTCACTATATGGGTGGAGGGAAAACATCCAAAATTAAAGAAATAGATTATAAAACACTAGAGGACAGTATAATAAAAATGGTGAGTTTAGGGAACAATACATCAGTTGGTGGTAAGAATTAAAACTATGGCAGTATACAATTGCTAGATCATTCTGACCTTGTTATCATTGCAGAAAGTCAAAACTTTATCACACCGACAGTGGGAAGCATCAAAGGGGTTTGAGCCATGATTTACCTAGTTAGATCTGCAGTTTTTAAATATCACTTTAGAAACAGAGTAGAGAGGACATATTGAAGAAGATAGGATGCAATCTGGAAGCTTAGCAGATTTGTAAGTAGCAGTGATGATAAAGACTTGATAACCATGTTAGAAATGATAAACATTAGATTTATGACTTATAGATGTCCTCTTCCCATTTAATGTTGCTGTAACAGAATACTTGAGGCTGGGCAATTTGTAAAGAAAAGAGGTTTATTTGGCTCATGGTTCTGGTGGTTGGAAAGTCTAGGATTGAGCAGCTACATCTGGTGAGAGCCTCATTCTGCATGAACTTATGGTGGAAAGTGGAAGAGGAGTGGGAGTGTGCAAAGAGGTTACATGGTGAGAGAAGAAACAGACTCTTTTAAACAACCTGCTTCCACATAGGAACTAATCCATTCCCTCTAGAGTGAGAACTCACTGACCTCCAACCAGAATGGCATTAATCTGATCATGAAGAATATGCCCCCATGACTCAACACCTCCCACTAGGCTTCACATCCCAACACTGTCACAATAGGTATAAAACTTCAGCAAGAGTTTCGGAAGGGGCATGTTATATGCAAACTGTAGCATGAGTATGGGGAAGAAGCAGGAAGAAGAGGGGAAAAATATTAATACACTTTGGAGGATTCTGATGTATCATTATAATGACTAAATTATACATAATCTCTCGTAATCTACCTTGATTTGAATGCACAAAATAATACTATGCAAGGGCAAAGTAAATCACACTCTATACCTTTATTATGAATCTGAGATGTGGACTATATTACAATGGAACATATTTACTATATGGCAAAATTAAGACTTTAATAATAATACTATTAAACAATAAAACTTTTACAACATCCAGCATTCAAGTGATTTCAAATTTTGTGTCTAATATATAGTCGTATCATTTTAAACAGATATTATTTACCATTTCTACTCTTACTAAATGACCAGGATGCTCAACACTCAGATTTGTTTTACAGATCAGTTTCATCCAAATGCTTGAACATATAGGCAACTGCTAATGAGTGGTAGATTGATAAAAGAAATTGGAAAAAAAGAATATGAATGGACATAAAAGTAGGAAGGTGGGGGTTTGAGTGAGAGAAAAAGAGAGAACAGAGTAGGAGAGAAAGAAACTATGTTGAAGGAGGCATTTGATTTTCTTAGCTTACTGAGTTTGAGAAGTTATCACTATTTATTTCATAACCTTATGTAGCTTACTTAATAAGTTCAGAAAGTTAGATTGAAAATTAGGTTAAAACAAATTGTCCTGAAGACTATTAAAATGAGTTCAAATTCCTTTTGTCAGAACAGAATTCTTGCTGAAACGGGTGATTACCAGTTTATCATTTATTTCACAAGCATTTATAAAGCACACATTTAAAAAAAAGAAAAAGTCCATTTCTAACAGTGGCACTCCAGAGCTGTCAAGATTCAAGCAATGTGACTGCTTTTTATTTTATAATACATGGAAATGCTAGCTGCCTTTCTCCCCAGGTGCTTTCATGCATATGTCCCTTTTACGAGAACAAACATTACCATTCTCCTATAAGGCTGGGAAATGAGACAGCTGCTATTGTTCCAAATGATGGTTTTTGTTTTCGGTGATATATCAATCATATTTTAGCCAGAAATCCAACTACACAAACTTGACAGTAATTCTTTCCTTCTCCCTCTTCAAACACTCACGGTTCGCTTCATTCAGTCACCTCCTCCCGAGGTCAGCTCCTAAACAGCAGATGGTGTGCTTGTGTGCAGCAGCTGGCTTCATTCCACTCCATCCCCTCCTTCTCTCAAGGGACTGTGCGTGTGTGCCTGTGTGTGCATCTGTATGTGTATGAACATTCACGACTTTCAGTTGCCATTCAATGCTTTCTGCTTCTCCCAGCCAAAAAGCTGGGAAGCTTGGCGTACTTTCCAGCAATGAACCCAGATGTCCAGCTGTGATACAGTTTCCTTTCCAGTCTCCCTGCTGGAGCAGTATTCATTCACAACCCCAAATAAAAGAGTTTTCTAGAGGCCCTATTTTGTCCTTCTGGTTTGGTGTTGTAGTCATGTTTGGGAGAAACAGTGTAGGAGCCAGTGACAATGAGTAAAAATCTAAAATTGTTTTCCCGTGTCACTTGGATGGGATAAGGCGCCTCTTCAGTGTGGCTCAGGGCCTTGATTTTTATGGGCTGGCTTACTCAATGCATCATTGCCAACATCGATGTCTCTTTTTTTTGTTTCTTCAGATGAATATGCTAATGAAACTTCAAGAAGCAGCCAATTACTCGAGCACACAAAGCTGCGACAGCGAAAGCACCAGCCACCATGAAGACATTTTGGATTCATCTCTTGAATCTACCCTCTAGAGGATGAAAAAAGTTAGGGGAAAAGACTGCTTTTAAAAAAAATGTTTAAAAAGAAAGGTATTTTCACTAAACCACTGCCAGTATAAAAGCACCCTATCAAGGGCCCTGACCCAGAGTCGTGGTCTCCAAGGAGGCAGCAGAACTAAGTCTGAACCACCGAGATGCTAAATTGCAATGGAAGCTTAACTTTAATTTCTAAGCATTTTTTTATATCTGTGGAGTAGTAGAAGGCTCCATTACTCAACTGGAAAGGACCCTGATGACAGGGCAACTGAATAGATTGCACATGGGATAGCCAAACTGGACTTTCTTTGTTTCCTCTTTAAAAGTTTACAATGCAGACCATTTTTTTTGTCCTTTCCTTTTGTTTCCTCTGAGGGGCTGTTCTTCCCCAGGCAGGGTCTATCCTTCTGATCCGTCCAACCTCCTTTGTGCCACACGGTGCTGGTCCCAGTGCTTCAGTAGTGTTTGTGTTGTGCGCTCACCCCATTCCAGAACAAATCCAAGAGGCCAGTCCTCCATAAGCACAAATGGAATTGTGCAACCACCAGAAAAACACTACTATGGCAAACTGGAAAAGTGCCAATTTAATTCTAACTGCCATGTTCTCATGATGTGCTCCACCAACTTTTTAGTACATGAGTCACCGGTTTTATAAGGTTGTTTTTACCACAGTGGTCTTTTTAAACCACCTGCCCACTCCCTTAACAAGAGTTTTATACCAATTATTAGTCAACACTGACAAAAGGCTTTTTTAGGGCTTTATTTGTTTGAGCCTTTTCAGTGAAAGAAGGAACATTTCCTATGGTGCTGTCTCACTGCCTTAAAACAGATTTCTACAACAGTTTAACAGTTGGTTTAAATCCTAAACCATTGGTAATTTCCACTGTCTTTTCATTTACAATCAAGCAACACCAGTTAACACAGTAGCCTCATCTCTATATATCTTTCTCTCTTTTTTTTTTTTTTTGAAGAAATGGATAGGAGAAAGATCAGTATTTTTAACCTTGTGAATAGATTGTGTTGCCTATCCTCCAAAATATTAAAATAACCCAGAAACGCTCTTTGACCGTCACTTAAAAGCTAAGACATGGTGAAATTCCATCCAGTTCTAAGTGAAAGAATTTCAGAAGGCAAGAGATTTTGAATTATCATCCAGCAGGGCTGGAAGCACTAGATGCAGCATGAGCACAACTATTCGGCTTTCCTTCCCTATTTTTTTTAATTAGTTTTGACGCATGTTGTTTTGATTGCTATTGTTGTACATGAGAAATTCAGCATTAAAGAACACTGAAGCAGTAAAGTCACTGTGGAAGAGGAAGCGTTTATACTGTAAAAGAAGGTTAGATTTGCACAGTCTACTGGGTAGGTATTGTAAATAATAATTTTTAAAACTTGCACAAATCGAAACAAACACAAACAAAAGTGTATTTTATCCTGTTGGTGTTAAGAGGTGTTTCACTTGCTGAGATTTCCTGTACATTGCAAACAAATACAGAATGCAAACCCTCAAAGCTGTTATTATCTGGTGTGTTTGTCCTGTATTTACGATTGTTATGACTATGCAGGAGCTATCAGTGCTAGAGTGAGCATGCTTCAAAACTGTACATGAAGCCAATATATTTTTGGATAAGTAAAACTGTCTGAAAGTACATCTGTCATGGCAGGCTTTAAAGAGAGTGCATGAAAACCGATCAGTCATTGGAGAAGTTACCACCATACACAAAGGACAGGTTTTAAGTTTACGAAACCCAAGGGCTAGGCCATGGTATAGACTTGTTCTATGAGTGTGTGAAAATGTGTTGCTTTTAGGACGTGTAATTGGTGCTACTCTCTGTGACCACCAATGGGTCAGTTGCTTAGAACAACACCACCACCACAAAACATCTGTGCAGTTTTCAGAGTGTCACTAAGTCTACAGGTCCTTTCTCGGTGCTATTGCCCTAAGGGAAATCCGAACTGGATTTATGCACATAGAATTGTTACCCTGACTTTGAAGCCTCAAACATGGATCAAATCTGTTGTGAAACATCAGTATATGTAGCTGGATGAGTGACTAGTTGCCCTTGTATAATATGTGATCAAAGAAAATTGCTAATCTTTCCCTGCCATTTTGAGAAACACAGTCCAGACATGAGCATAAACAGAATTTCCTGCAATACATCCCAGTAGGTCCACCTAGTTTACAACTTAAACTAGTTTGTGAAACATTTGTCTGTATACATTTTATATTTTGTACATTTTGATGTAACATATCATGTAAATAGGCAGAAACAGTGAAATAAATCATCTGAAAAGTTTTGTAGTCTTTGTAAAGCCCCAACAATAAGTACTTGGTGTCAATGGACTTAACTGGATGATGTATTTTCTATTGGTTTATTGTTCCTCTAGCTTGTAAACCAGCTTGCATATATTTTTTTGCAAATGTGCACCCTGTATCCGTCTAAATTATTACTTTGCCATTAAAGTGGAATTATTTATTGACAACATGGTGTGGTGTCTATGTATGGAAGAAAGTGAATAATTATACACCAAGAAGTGTCAAGCTTTAAAATGTTGCTTGCACTATTAATATGACTTCAATAGGACTGTATGCAAATTTATATTTTATAACCATCATAAAAAGGGCTTCAAAGCTTTCAAGTAAATAAAGGTAATCGGTTTAACTTTTTAAATGATAATTATTCAGTGAATGTTTCAGAAAACTCTGAATAGTTTTCTTAAATACCCAATGATAAAATAAGAATATAAAATAAGATGTTGAGATTCACTGAGTCAAATTAACTCAATAAATGTTTGTTTGTTTTTATTCCATTAAATCCTCTTTTGACATTTTAGCTCTAAACATTATTTTAAAGCAAACTAATTCTTTGGGTAGTAGTATGTTTTTTTAATAGAGAAGATTATAAAAGAAAAGAAAAGAATCCCTTTTAAAATTATGATTTCTTTTAAAGTAGCTTGGAAATCTCTTTAACCTCAGTAATTGGAATATATATTTGTGATGGTATAAGCAGGATTTTAATTCTAAAAGCAGGAAAACTTCTGAATTAGAATAGTTATAGAGCAAAGAAAGAAAGGTATTAGTTAAAATAGACTAATCACCCATAATGGATTATAATCAGTGCATTTGTTCCTTTACTCAGTTTGGGAGATAAGGAAATTTCCACAATTCATCTTGTTCAGATAAACATTGAATTAAGCCAAAACTTCAATACGGTTCTGCTAAATACAATTTCAGGCTGCCTAAGTATAAATCCCAACATGTCATTCTTTGTGTGACCTTGGCCAATGTACTCAAACTCTATGTGCCTCATTTTCCTCACCCATAAAGTGATGATAATAATAGTACCTGGCTCTCACAGATTGCTCTGAAGATCATATGGGTTATTACACGCAAACTCCTTGAACAGTGCCTAGCCCTCCGTAAATTGTAACTTCCTGAACAACAATTGTAACAAAATAAGATATATTTATATTTTTTTCAAACATTCTTGAGAATAAGATGTCAATAAATTTAAGGTTTTGAAGAATATATATTTTAACTCAATTTCCTAATTTTTAAAATGGACGTAGAAATAGTACTTACTCATAGGGCTGTGAAGAGGATTGAGTTTAGGTCTGTAAAGTACTCAGAATAATAGCTATCACTCAAGAAATTTTCAACAATTATTAGCTTCTATATTAACACTGCCATTACAATAAATGAATAATATCAGTAATATACTCAGGATTCAACCTACTCATCTATAAAATCAGATTATTATAGTATCTACTCATAAGATTAGTTTGAATAATGAATAGTTTAAAATATGTAAAATACTCAGAAAAGATTCTGTCCTGGCTTAAATGTTACATAAGTGTTAGTTGTCATTCTAATATGTGCCAGGCAACTTTCTTAGGAATCAGAGCCATTGAGATGCAGGCTATGGTCCTACAGGATTTAACATTTAGTAGAATTGAGTCTTTGCCCCCTTCACTTTTTACTATAATGAATCCCTAAGTTCCCTACTATAAGGATGCCTATTAAAAGCCCAGTGAATAGTCCACTGAAAAATTGAACAGGATATATTTTCAGATTCTGATAGAATCAATGATACCAGTGAATTATGTTTATATTTGGAGAAATACAAGTACCCTCTTTATTTCAGGCCTTGGACTTTCACAGTAAAGAAAGAAAAATATCATCTTTATAAACAATAGGCCACCTTAAAAATGTCTAGTTCTATGTCTTTGATCAGTGAAGATGTTTAAAAGGAAGCTTCAATTGTGTTTTTATTTTGTTTTGCCTTTTGGGGAGGTATACCAATTAACAGGCAAAATATTGCATTGGTGAATTAACTATTTTTTTTAATTCAGTGAATATGATTTGGATAAGTCATTAAGAGGATCTCTTCTCTACATAAAGTATACATTATCTCTCAATTACGCAGGAGCTCATCAATAAGAAAACACATTCATAGAAATTAAACAGAGCACATTCTAAACATTTTAGAATTTAGAATTCTTTAATAACATTCTAGAATTTTATTAGAGAAAAATGAAAGTTCTCAAGCTTTATTTTCCATGAAATTGTAAAAGAGAATGCTAATATCAAATAAATCTTTCAGAATCGTTGGAATTTTTATGTTATTTTTTGAGACAGAGTCTTGCTCTGTCACCAGGCTGGAGTGCAGTGGTACAATCTCTGCTCACTGCAACCTCCTCCTCCTGGGTTCAAGTGATTGACCTGCCTCAGCCTCCTGGGTAGCTGGGACTACAAGGGCCCACCACCATGCCCAGCTAATTTCCTTTTTTTTTTTTTTTTTTTTTGGTATTTTTAGTAGAGATGAGATTTCACCATGTTGCCCAGGATGGCCTTGATCTCTTCACCTTGTGATCTGCCCTTCTTGGCCTCCCAGAGTGCTGGGATTACAGGCATAAGCCACTGCACCTGGCCTATCATTGTAAATTTTAACACTTGAACTTAATATTCCAGAAAAGCATGGTAGAGTTGAAGATAACAGAGTAGATACTTTTTATATTGATTACATGTAAAAATAGTAATATTGCCAATATATGAGGCTATATTAACTATAGTATTAAAATTAATTCATCTGATTTTTTTGTTTTTTGTTTACTTATATTTTTTGAGATAGAGTCTCACTCTGAAACCCAGGCTGGACTGTAGTGTCATGATCACGGCTCATTGCATCCTTGACCTCCCAGTCTCAATCAATCCTCACACCCCAAACCCTCCAAGTAGCTGGAACTATAGGCACGTACCACCACACGTGGCTAATTAAAAAATTTTTTTTTTTTGCACAGACAAGGATTCACTATGTTGCCCAGGCTGGTCGTGAACTCCTGGGCTCAACAGATGCTCCCACCTTGGCTCCCTAAAGTACTAGGATTATAGGCATGAGTCACTGCACCTGGCCTTTAATGTGGCTGCTACTGGAAAATCAAAAACAGTGCTTATATTTGTAGCTTGCTTGATATTTCTATTAATGCTGCTATAGACTCATCTTCACAAAATATAAATGTGATCATCTCTCTCATCTCTTTTGTATTTTGTTTTTAAAAATAAGATTCAAATACCAAAGGACAACAGTTCCATACTTAAATTGAATCTTGCTTATCCCTTGGCTTACTTTTATCACCATGTCCACCACCCCCATTTTTATACATTAGCCTAATTGTAGAACCTAGAAGTAACTGTTGAAACAAATAACAACAATAACTTTATAACTTCCCAGACACGTAGCTATGAGCATATGTCAAAGTTTTGTTATAATCTTGCAGCATGCTAAAAAGTCTCTAGGAGGCCAATTTAAAAGTTTCTCTTAAATAGAGACAACTATAGAAAAAGGAAATTAGGCAAAAAAGAAAAGAAAATGTATTTATCCCCAAAGTCTTGACTGTCAGATAAGTGAGTGAGTGACCAGTTCCTTGGGACAAAGGTCATCTCATAATTAAACAGTTATCTTAAATTGCCAAATGTTTTATCACAAATCAAATGTATTGAATAAAGGAGATTACAAACTACATCAAGTGATATATAATGCTTTGTTCCAGACCAGGTTTGATAAAATATTTCCTTTACAGTCATTTCCTTTCTCTTACCCCAAGACCTTCATACAGTCTCAAATGTCATTTCCTTAGACAAACCTTTCTGATCCCTCAGACTAGGTAAAAAAAAAACTATGTTATTTTCTTTTCCACTAATATCAAAATAAATATATATATGAAATATTATGGAATTATATTCCAGAAAAATATATACACAATTATTCCACATAATATTGTGGAATAAAAATATTTCTGAACATGGAGACCACAACTGAACTTTATCATATGTTAAGCAAATACATTAAATTTGAGCTGAATGACTTTTACAGGTGTAGCGTTTCCTGGGAAGCCAGATTAGTAATTAGAATGCTGATTGGTGACCAGGGAAGAAGCAAGGAACTTGAGGACTAGAGTTATTTAAAGCACTGCCTCACGCTTGGGAAGGTTTTTTTCTCCTTTAGATATAATGTGTTCCATACTTTCTATCAAGTTTTCTTTTTCTTTCAGCTTTTCAAGTTTTTTTTTCTTTTTTTTAAGACACCTTAGTTATATATGGTACAATGTAAATGTGTGGGGTTTTCTGGGGAAACAAAGAAAATACATCAAGCGTAGAAATGTAATACTAGAGCCTAGAAGACAGGTGGTGGCTGGAAAACTCAAAATAGGAATCTTTGGCAGAAATGAGAAGTAAAGATGTGAATTTCACTTTGGGATGATCCCCCACAAGACAGACCTTCACCAAGAAGAGACTGAGAATAGAACCTGAAGAATATGGTGAGAATCTTTATCATTCTTTTAACTTTTATTTGTCAATTTGCCTAATATATTTGTGCACATTTAATGCAACATTTATAAAGGAATATAAGGGGAAAACCATTGAATTAAGAGTCAGAAAAATCTGTATCCTCGTTATATTTTGTGAATTCTGCTAGAAAAATCATCTGATCCATTTATGTTCTTGCAGATTTTATACCCTAAGATGATGACAGATATTAAAATTCACCCAATGTCACTGGAGTGGTTCTATATATTTTTTGTGATATAAATAATGTGTATCTATTTTCAGGGAAGAGTAAAACGTCTAAGGTATCTGGTAATAGCCCAATCAAAAACACTTGAGTACAATTGTATTCAGTGTGGTCTGATCCTAACCTGATAAGCTGTGCAGAGGCAGCTGAGCATATAAGCGGGTTTTGCAGGGTGATGTTCAAGGGGTACGAGCTGGACCAAACGCCTTATAGACCCTTTGACTGTAGTAGAGTGGCCATTTGCCTAATATTAACAACTCTTGACGGGGAGGGGATGCCTACTGCCCAGGCAAAATTCTTCCCTGATTATCTATTTACATTCCCTGGTTCAGCCCTTCCTCTGGTTACTGCAGAATGTAGGCCTAGGGATTCTCTTCAGCTTCTTACTGGTGGTGCTAGGATGAGGCATGA